TGAAATGTGACTTTGAAGAAAAAATTTTAATATATGATATATGCTAGCTGATATATTTGTCTTTAAACCAACATAGTTGTAAAATATAATTTTCTTTTTTTTTTTTATGTTAGAAGGGACATGTGAATGCAAAAGACCCATGAACATCATAATGTGGCCTTAGCGGGTTCAGAAGTCAAATCCGGTCTGTCTGCCTCCAAAGGTTATGTTTTCACTAGCCCGGTCTAACCCCATTTTACAGCTGAGGAAACAGGTCCAAGGGCTCCCAGCGAAAGGATGGCAGAGCCCAGCGGAGAATTCAGGTCCTCTGCGGGCCAACCACTGAACCCTGTGGTCAACAGCACCACCTGGTGGTCTTGCAGGGAACTTCCCTTTAGTCAAAGGAACCTACGGAAGGGCACAGATCCATATACCCCAGGAAGCAGCCGCAAGCCAGCCATGTCCGTTTGTTTATGTATAACCTATGGCTGCTTTTATTCTATAAAGGCAGAATTGAGGAATCGCATAGTTGAAATTAGACGGATCACAAAACTGACAACATTTACAATCTAGTGCTTTACAGAGAAAGTCAAGCCCTGATTTAACCCAGTGTATTCAAATTCGGTCATTTCAACATGTAATTCGATATAAAAAGTATGTAGGAGGCATTTTACATCTTTTGTCATACTAACTCTTCAAAACTTGGTGTGTCTTTTATATTTACAGCATGTCTGAACTTGGATGAGACCCATTTCAAGTGCTCAGTGGATATGTGTAGCTCAGGACTACCAAATCGGACAGTGCACGTTTAGAAGAAGGCCTGCACACAGCAAATATCGTCTAGGTGTTCATTAAATACATAAATAAATAAATTCCCCTGAAGAATTAAGCCCTGACGTCCTGGGACACCACTGTTTGTCATGAATCAACTTCTTTCCCACGCTATGTAGTGCTGTCCTTGGGAGAATTGAGAAAAGAGTCACTCGGATCATTTTCACTGGGGCTTAATTTATTTGCAAAATCCCAACTGAGAAAGGCTGCCCCATTGCAGCCCGTCTTCTGAGCAGCTTGCAGACTTGCTACTGAGAGATCGTCATCATCTTAGTAACTATTATAATTCACATATACAGCCAGGTGCTTACAGGCATTTTCTGAGCACTGCTTCACTTAATGACAGAAGTAGTAATGACCCCCCTCAGAAGCCTGCCCCGAGACCCCGTGCTGGCCTCAGTGCCTCCTCTGTGCTCCAGAGGCGGCCACCTCCCCCATCCCAGCTCACCTCACTCTGTGCTGTGAGCCCCAGGGAAACCTGTCCCCGATTCCCCCCTCTGCCCCAGGAGCCCAGCCAGGGCCTGGCCCATGGGAGCTGATTATTTGGTGTCTGGTTAAATTCAGCGGGTATTTGTCAGGCACCTCTGGCTGCGTAAGGTTGGGGTGCAAGACCCAGCAGAATCACAAGCACACATTGCCATTTGCTCACGCCTCCCAAGAACTTGGCCAGAGTTGATAAGAAAAGCCCAAGCGAGTTAACTCAGTTTGCACCTTTAAGTGGCCTCGCTCTTCTGTGGAGTTTCAGGCTGAGAGGAGGACCAGTAGAGGCTGAGAAAATCCCCCTGGAAGTGGCCCTCCGAAGGCTGTCAGCGTGCCCCCCTTTCTTTCTTCAGCCAGCCTGAGGGTGAGGAGGAGGGGTACCACAGTGCCAGGATTAAGCAAGAGGCACCCATGAGCATGTGGGTTTTGCAAACAACCATTTGCAGGCTGACTCTCTGGGCTCCCTCCAGGCCTGAGGCCTTGCAAGCAAGGAGATGCTCTGAGCACTAACCCTGGACAGGCTGCCAGGTAGTCATCTGACATGTCTGGGGTTCCGGGAGAGAGCTTGTCCCGAACAAAGGAGGGAGGCCGGCCCAGATGCCTGGCAACCAAGGTGGTAAAGAGTGAGCATATCCTTGCCAGGCTCTCAGTCTCTCCCCTTGTCCCTTGTTGGATGTAAAGGACCCCAGGGAGGACTTGGAGGCCCTAGGAGATGGCAGAGCCACCCGATGGGAGAAGCCTGGATCCCCAGACCGGCATGTGGCCGGCGGCCCACTGACCATCAGATTGTATTGTGTTGTAGCAGATACATCTTTATTGGTTTGAGCAACTGGGATTTCGGGGCTGTTTGTTATAGCAGTGAGGCAGCCCTGACCCATGCAGGTTCTTGGGGGCGAGAGAAACGGTAAGTAAACACAGAAACTACTTCTACTAAAACTGTGGGACATACCGGGACTGAACAACTCTGCTGGGGGTTCCTTCAACAGTGTGCAGAGAGAGGGGGGGATGGAAGATGGTCCCTCCTCCCCTTAGCACTGTAAGAGCTTAGCGAGCCCCCTCCCCAACCCCTGGTCTGTTGCTGGAGCCCTGGGAGACTTGGGTATTTCTCCCAGGACAGAGGTGTGCCCCGCATCTTGCTGGTGATGGTGGGGTCGGGGAGCTCTGCAAGGCGCTGAGGTCCTTGGGGGCCACCCCGGATCCCAGAGGTGTGCCTGCGTCAGAGAAGCACTCGCGCGCACTCACCCTCAGCAGAGCGGGCAGGGCCGGACACAGCAGAGGGAGGGTGGGTGGATCCAGAGCCCCCAGTGAGTTCACATCAGCTGGTCTGTTCGCCCGTGGAAAGTGGAAGATGCTACTTTTGATATAAAAGCTCTTTGTGATGGGCTGGGAACTGGCATGAGGTGGAGCCCCAGCATCCTTCACGATGTCCCCTGGAACACAGCAAAGGCCCAGCTGAGTTGGGCGTCCACTCCAACCGGCCCTAACCCAGCCCGAGGCTGGAGGCGGCAGGCACACATCGCCACAGCTGATTCAGGGTTTCAACAGGAAGTACTTCTGTACGGCTAGGGACAGCGGCCACCCTGGGCCCCCTGACTCCTACTTTAGAAGGACCCCCATTCCTTGCTAGAAGCTAGTACCTGCAGGGTGGGCCTGGCATAGCCCGGGAACCTGGGGACTCTGCTTTGGCTCCACAGCCAGTACCTGCCCTGTTGGCGGCACACGGGTCACCCCTCACTCTCTCCCTGTTGTCAGCAAACCACCCCCAGCCCACTGCTCACAGTGAGCACCTCCAGGGGCCCCCAAGGCTAAACTAGCTCCCAGTGGCCACAGGCTGCAAATCCTACCTGTTGAATTAATAGTAATAATAGTAATAACACCAATTTCTATTTGTTGAGCCCTGTGTGTGAAAGAGCATTTGGGGCCGACCCAGCTGGGGCCCAGTGCCTTCAACCCCTCAGGGCAGTTTGCCCCACTGGGGTGACCCGGCCTCTGCCTGGAACTGTGCTAGGGGGGCAAGAGGTGGTCAGCCCAACAAGGCCTATGTCTGTTCTTCATCTGCCCCTGAACTGGATGGGTTAGGGGAGTGAGGCCAGAAACCTACAGAATGTTCCAGAGGTTCTGGGAGCAACTGTGGGCTTAAGCAGAGCCATTATGGAGGACAACAGCCTCCCCGTCCATGCCCTGAAGCCAGCACAGCCCTAGAACCCAGGGACATGCAGACCCGGCTCCCCTGGCTCCAGTGATTGGGCTGGCGGGTAAAATTACAGGCTGTGCCCAGTTATATGTGAAGGTCAGATGAAAAATGAATAGTTTTCAATATAAGTATGTCACATGCAACATTTGGGATAAATCATATGAAAACAGTATTGTTTACCTGAACCTCGGCATAACTGGACATCCTGACTTTCATTTGTTCAGTTCGGTGACCCTATGCCTGCCAGAGGCTTCACGGGCAGTGGGCAAAGGAGCTGTGGGCCCGAGCAGGAGATCTGAATGTGCACACAGGGCATCAGGCCCTGTGGAGCACACGTGACCCAGGGCTCTGAGCCGACGTGCCCTCCCCAGCAGGCCTTCCCCAACCGCCTGCCTACCAGAACAGCCCCTCAGCCCCCATCTCCTCCCGACGTAGGTCCACGGGCCAGTGGGAGCTGGTGATAATGCAGAATCTGCCCCCCATCTCTGGCCTTACCTGCTAGACCAGAACCTACATTTCAGCAGGATTCCTTCCCCAGGCGGTTCCCAAGCACAGTAAAGATCGCAAAGCTGGGCAGCAAAACTCATTATTGTTGTTGGTCCTCTGTGAGGGCCTGTGCTGTCCTGTTCTCTGCTGTATCCCCAGGGACAGGAAGTGCCTGACACGTAGCAGGTGCTCAATGAACACTTACGGAATGAATGAATGAATGAATGAATGAACCAGAATCCAAACCCGGGCCTCCTAATTTCACACTGAGCCCCTCTCCTGTGCTTGCACATCACTCTCTCTTTGTGGGCAGAGCCTGAACAAAAACATCACATGGCCAACCAACGAATGTCTGTCCCAGCCACCTCAGGGGGCTTTGTGAGGAAAATACCTGTTCAACGTGCCTTCCCATCTGATTTCCCCCAAACTCTGTGACATGGAAAGGCAGGTACTAGCATATCCCTGTATTTTAGATGTTGGGCTCACTCGACTCAATAGTGGTGGAGTCAAGATTCAAACTCACACTTCCTGTCAAATCAAGGCCTTATTCCCCAGCACATGTTCCTTCATTTCTTCATTTGCTCATTTATTCCGCTGTCATTGAGCGCCAGCCCCAAGCTGGCAGCTGGGAGAACATTCATAAGGTTAACTAAGAAGTCCTAGAACGCAAAGGTGCTGGCCAGACCACACAGGTGCGCACAGAATGGTGACACAGTGGGCACAGTGCTTTTGTGGACTTAAAAAGCTGCGAAGCACAAAGGTGGACTCGAATCTACCTGAAGGACTCTAGGAAGACTTCCCACAGGCGGTGACATGTCAAAGTTAGGCAGAGGGAGGCACTCCGGTCTCTCTGCCAAGGCCCGAAGTGTGAAGGTATGTGGCCTGCTCTGAGAGGGGTGGGCCGGAGGGACACGCCGGTGGGTGAGGGCTGATGGATGACAGGGCCCAGGAAGGAGGCCGGGCCTGCCCACAAAGGCCTGCCATGGCAGGAGAGGGGTGGCCCTTACCCACGTGCCGGCCGTACTCCCAGGAAGACAGGACGGGGTACGGAAACTTCTCCAGTCTGCTGGTGCCGCTCATGGAGGTAGGCGGTGCGGCCTAGGCTGTCGTGGGAGATGCCGTGGAAGGGCAGTTGCAGGGGGTGCGGGGGGCACCCGCCTCATTCCGAAGGCCTCTGCTTTGGTCTGGCCTGCAGGCCCCCAGCTGCTCTTTGGGCCTCCAGGACTCTGTCTCCCTTGCGCGGGGGGCCCTGGGCACCCAGTCCCCTGGACAGCCGACCTGTCTGCCCGGCCTGGATGCCCTTGCGGTCAGGGGAGCTGGTGGCCCGGCCCTGCTCCCACGGCTGCCTGAAGGGGGGACGCTGCCTGGGCTGGGGCCCCACCTGTGGGGACTCGGGGCCACAGTTGATCTTCCAGGCGACCAGACGGCGGCCTCCTTCTGGATGTGCCCCTGCCAGCAGACTCTGCTCCGGGAGGTGAGCAGGGCCCCCCTGGCGGGAGGAAACGGCCCCCTGTGGCCTGCTGGTGCTGCTGGCGGCTGGTGTCCACGATGCCGCAGCTGGTGAGGGCTGGGTGGCCAAGGCCCTGCTGGAGAGGAGAGGCTCTGCTGCTCAGGGGACTCGGGGCCACCCAGAGGCAGCAGGGCAGACCCAGCTGGGAAAAGGGGCAAAGGGGGCCACAGCCCACACCAGGTGCCTGGAAGGGGGCCTGTATCCTGCCCAGGGCCCAGGCCTTTCCTCTCCCACCCACAGGTCCAGGGCTGGTACACAGGGTGCCATAGCCTCCATTCCGTTCAGCAAACCCCATGCACACCCACTGCATGCCGGGCACCAAAGAGGTCCAAAGAGAGGCCTAGTCCCTGGCTCAGGAAGCTCTGGACACATGGCTGAAGGCTCGTCACGGAGGCTCTGGACCCCAGTTCCTCAGACACAGCTCTGCCACTCGGGGCTGCACGGCCTGCTCTGTACAAAGGGCTGATAGTGGGAGCCACTCGTAATGTTGAGAGAATGCCCACTGTGTAACATTTGGGGACATACCTGGCACAAAGGAAGCCCTCCGTACATGCCAGATGCTGCTTAACAAGGGCTCCCGGTGCCGCCAGCCACCCTCCTGAGCTCCGGCAGCTCTCAGAACCTCCTTTTCAGGTGGGGGAATGGAGCCTTGAAGAAATGATGTGCCCGCCCCAGGGCATGGCACTGGTATGTGGGTGCCTACTCTGCCAGGCCCTGGGCGATTGCACTTAATCCTCACAGCGACTTATTAATGGGATCTCTTAACACTTCTTCTGATGAGGAAACAGGCTTAGCAACGTGAAATGGTCACACTGGGCTTGACCCCCAAACCCACATCTGTGTGTTGCAGACACAGAACTCTCGGCAGAACGTGAAGCATCACGAGAGAGGCGCAGCAGGGCCGGGCACAGGGGGGCCCACAGTCGCCATCACGTCCAGATCCCCACACCGTCAGCCTCCCTGACCAGGGCCCTCCAGGGCTGAGCACCAGTGAGGAGGAGGCCGCCCACAGTGCCTGGGGCCCCTCACCTGTGCATCGCTGCTGGGCGTGCTCTCACTTCTTCATTCAAGGAACATCCATTTGCCCTTGACCCTGTGCCAGGCACCGAGCCAGGTATCAAAGGTAGATGAGGATGGACAGAGCCACGTGCTTCCTGCCCTCAGAGTTTCATAGTCCAAGAGGGGAGACAGACTCATAACCAGGGAGTCAGGGGGATAGTCTGGGAAGGCTACCTGGAAGGCCCATTGATGGAGACCTGAACTCTGAACACAAGTCAGCCAGGCAAAGATTGCACGGTGAGTGCTGTATACTGGAAGCCCCAGTCTGAAAGGATGGACAGACTGCCCTCCATGCCTCAGCCTTCTCGGCTGTAAAATGAGGGCTGTGAAGAAGTCTGGGAAATTGGGGAGCATTGAGTCAGCTGGCTAAGTGGACAGCCTGGTGTATCTCCTTTGTAGCACTCACTGTGGTCACTGACGAATTGCAGTCCCCTTTCAATCCAGGCTCCTTGACCAGGCTGTAAGCACCACTCATTGTTCGGGACCAAGGGCCTTCTAAGTACCCGGAGCTGCAGTGAACACAAGCTGTGGAAGTCCTGCCCGCAGGGGGCTTGTGGCTCTGTGCCCTGGCTGGCTCCCCACTGTATCTGGGTCTGCAGAGTACCTCTGGGGTACTGCCTGGTATACAGTCGGCGCTCAGAGAAAGGAAACAACCAATGGGTGCACCTCACGCTGGTTCTGTTGCCACGGGGCATGTGGCAGAAGGGTGGAGAGCGGACAGTCAGGGGTTGAGGGGCTGCGGGTGGCAGGACCTTGGGGTCCACCGGTTGTGCGGTGGGGTCTGATCCTACAACTCAGGAAAGCCTCCCTGACCCAGACTGTCCCCACCCCAGACGGTTAGTCCAGGTGCCATGAGCACAAGGGGGCACAGGTGGGTGTCCCCCTCGTTGGGCTTCAGGGGCCACCAGCTGCATGGGCCTCCTCAGTGCCAAATTCCTTGGGCCCAAGGAAGCCCCAGGTGATCACCACAGTGACGGCAGACCAGGCCTGGTGGCGGGGTGGGCAGGCTCCCCCAAGAGGGGTCGGTGGGAGGGTGCAGAGAGGCACCCTCAGAGTACTGCCTTCCAAGTCAGCCACCAGCCCACCTGGATTCCGAGCGCCCACCCTGTGCCAGGCCTTGGGGTGCAGTGCAGGGCAGCAGGGCCCCCTTCCTAAACTCAGGCCTTCTGGGTTGTGACCATTAATCACTGCGTGTGTGACTTGACCTCTTCACCTTTCTGAGTCCTGGCAAACTCGTAAAAAAAGGGGGTAATCTTCAATCTCAGTGCCCAGCATCAGTGTAACTTATGAGGATACTTACAGTAGATTTATCAATTCATTAAAAGCCTACCCAAAACCTTTCGGGAAGGTACAGGGGCAGCCTAGGCCTGTGATAAAGAAGGGGTCACTGAAGCCTGCAAAGCAGGGGAGGCTGGGATGTGGGGTGGGGCCCTCACCCCACCCTGCCCACCGCACCAACTCACTGAACTCTCTGCCCACCTTTCTGGCCACGGCCCCTGGCCCTGCACGACCCACCTTGCTTGGAGTACTGTCCTTGGTCTACCCCATCCATGCCCACTGAGGATGCCCCGCCTCAGCCCCCAGTTCGGGCTCTCTCCATAAGGCCAAGTGCCACTCCTATTTGTACTGATTTGTCCTTAAAGTAGCCCCTGCTGGATTTAAGTTGTCCGTGCAGAAAAGTCCTCAGCGATCTTATACCAGTAACAGTAGTTTGTGAATGCTTACCATGTGATAAGCTCTTTACATGCATTTTGTCAGTTAATCTTCAGAACACCGTATGGGGTAGGTCCTGCTATCCCATGAGATTGGAGAGTTAACAGAGGCACTGTTTTCTGTGAGGCTAAGTGACCTGCTGGAGGTCATGGCAGGGCCGGGATTTGAATCCATGGTCCGTGCCTATAACCACCATGCTAACTGGCTTCCCCACGAGCCCCCCTTTCACTCCACCTTGGGGAGCTGAGTTCCTCCAACACTCAGGCAGCCCCTCTCCCAGCAACACTGGGTGGGGAGGGGTTTGCCCAGCCAGTTGGAGGATGGATATACTGGAGGATCTTTCTAGAGGTTGATCTTAGAATGGGAGCCTCCATTATTTTCCCATTTGATGGAGGAGGGCACCGAGGCACAGAGAAGGTGCCTGGTTGCCTGAGGTGTCTGGGCTGGGAGGTGGCAGAGCTGCGGTTGGAATCCAGATGTGAACCTGGAGGTCTGGTCTGCTGCTTTCTGAGCACGTCTCCTGCGCTGGGTTATTCTGAGGCTCTGGAGCTGGTGGCTTGTAGCTGGGCCTGAAGCTGGCATTTCCTGGGCTCAGTGCCTCTGCCAGACTGTCCTCCTCTGAGATCACCCTGCCAGGGTTTATTGGCTTGGAGCTAAGAATGTCCACGCTGGTGGGGAAAGGCGTCCTGGACTCCTAGGAAGGCAGTGGTCATGGCAGAGGGGGTAATGTGGGCAATAAAAGGCTTGCGGATTAATTCTTTCATCTTTGAGCTTTGTGCTAGGAGATAAGCAAGTACAAAATACGGCACTTGGACGCGAGCCACCAGTCAAGCTCGTAAATTCCCACGTCCTGCCTGCCTGCTTTGGAGAGCTCTTGACAAAGAGAGAAGGGGTGTGGGGTGGGCCACCCTAAATTCCTTGCACATGAGCTGGTCCCCTGTGGGCTCAGGGGTCTAGACAAAAGCCTTATCACAAAGTAAAAAGGATTCCTTTGTGTAAAAGGTTCCTCCCACCATGTATTTAGGCAGCATCTTTAGGACAAAGCCAGAGGGAAAAAATCGGATTCAGGCTTGCCTTGGGCACTGTGACATTTTTATTCCCTTTTCAGAGAGTTGTGATTTGCTATTAGGAGGAGAAAAAAAATTAGCTAAACAAGATCTGTTTCTGGGAGAGTTTTCATTAGTGGAATACTCTGAATGTAAAGCCCCTTCCCTCCAAGTGAACAGAGACTTAGGAAGATTCCGTTCCTTTCCTGGATAAGGATGCTTCCATCAGGCATCACAGGACACTGAAATTCACAAGCTTGTACCCTATTTTATAATACAAACTTGGGTCAGGGTTGACAAGGATCAAGCACAAAGGTTTGCCATTAACCTTTTTCTGTTCCAATTTTTAAGGCTGAGCAATTATCAAGGGGAATTAAATCCCTAGCATTGGACTCACACCAAACTCATCAAAATGCAGCTTTCACAGCCCCTTTTAAGTCTTAGGACTAGATATATGCCCAAGGGCCCAGGTGTTTATCAGTGCAGAGGAAACAGAGATGTTAAAAAAAGTGTCCCCCTTGGCCGTTTCTGCTGACGAATGCTTCCCGGGGTTGCAGAGGGAAATTGGATGAGGAAGAGGGGGCATCCGGGTGTGGAAGGGGACAGGTCAGCACTAGGTTTGGGATCTCTGTGGGGCAGCTGGTGGCACTGTCTGCTTCAGCCTCCACTGGTCACTCGGTAGTGGTGCTCAGCTCTGGGCAGGAAAGGTGCAAAATCAACCAGTGAAAGTTGGGAAGGTCCTGGCGCTTGGCCTGCAGGGTCAAGTTTCAAAGGTTTCAAGGTGTTTGCACAAACAGCAGCGGTTCCCATGGCATCAAGTCCAGGTGCAGAAACGAGTTGCCCTGGGGCTCTAGCCACTGACCAACAGAGAGGTACTCAGACTTCACCCTGAGGTGTCCTTGAGGGGATGAGCAGGGCAGCCCCAGGGCTAACAAGCAGCCCAGGGGGGGCCAGACGAGGACATCACCTCTGGCAGGGTGTTGGCTACAGGTAACAGTACTGGGGATTCACAGCTCCCAGTGGGATTTCCTGTGCCCCTCAGTCACCCTGAGGAAGGCACTCTGTCAGGTGGCCCAGTCTCCCCAGGGCCACACAGCCAGTGAGCAGCGAGCGGAGCCAGTGTTTAAGCCCTAAGGTACCTGATGCCAAAGTCCAGCTGTTACCTTACGAACGATTACAAACGGAAACAGCCAGGCCTCAAGGTAGAGAAATCAATGGCTGAGCCCAGCATTCATACCGTGGCCTGTTCAGACCCCACTGGGCAGAGCCTGGGTGGGAGTCCGGGAACGGTCATTCCCGGTGCAGGCTCCCTCCAGGAGGGGCAGGAAAACCCCCAGCCTTCCTCCCCGCTCTCAGAGGGAAACAAATCGCCAACCTGATCAGCCAGCGTCAGGAGGAGGCACACAAAAGGATCCCGTCTTCCCTCCCTGCCTTTCCCTCCACCCCTCACCCCCACTGGCGGCGGGGTACCAGCAGGGACACCCCATGACCGAGGCCTCTGGGGGCCCTTCCATCTGTGCTCTGGCTGCCACGGTGGTGTAACCAGGGAGGGTGTGCTCCCGGGCCGGGGCGGGGCCCAGGGTCTGCCCCGGGGGGGCTTTGAGATTACAAACCCATCAGTGTGGTACCCGAATTAGTGCCCTTGCCGTAGAATGTGCCACAGGACTGCTGTGACAGTGAGCGGGTGAGGGGCTGGGTACCCCAAGCAGGGGGCAGAAAGGGAAACACACAAACAGCTGTCCAGGGCAGTGGGATGACAGGTGACAGAATTTCTTATTTAAGTAAATTCCCTAACATGAGGGTTTCTTTCCCGTGTCATCAGGAAAAAGGCTTTCTCCCTCTTGCTCTTGTTTTTAAACCACAGCCTCCCGCTTGGTGCGTTTTATATCCAGGCCTCTTCTCCAGGCAAGCCCCAGCAAACCAATCTGGGAAGCTGTGCTGGTGTCGGGACCCAGGCACCCCCTTCCCAGTGCCCGGCACGGCCAGGCCCAGCCTGTCTGCTACCTGGCTTCTCCTGGTGATAAACTCCCACTGAGGCCCCCTTGTCCACCTGTGTCCCTTCGTCTAGGGCTTGGGGTGCTGGACAGAGACTCAGACAGCTTATTCAGGATCAACGCCATTCAAGAACACCAGGGGAGCTTTACGGAGCAAACATCTTATTTAATAAGTTATAAGGTACAATTTACAGTTGCATTTGATTCCAGTTTTGCTTCCACATCCCGGTTAACATGGCTGGGGTCCTTTCACACTGGCTTTTGGGCCGCTCCGGTTTCTCCCGAGTGGGGTCCTGTGGACACTCTCCTCCAGCTGCGACACCTGCGTGAAGGCCACCTTGCCCCCGAACCACCCATGGAGGCCCTCGTGACAACAGTGACCACTTCCTCAGGACTGAGCAGCAAATCGGAGAGGTCTGCGTGCCCTGACCACACCACCACCTGGGCCCTGAGGTCAGGCAGTGTGCAGAATACGTTAACTTCATTCCAAAGCCAGGTCTGCAGGAAGGTGTGCAAAATGCCTTACGCCCCATTTTTGGAATTTTGCACCTGCATATTGCTTTCCCAAAGGCCGTGGATGACATGCAGTCAGGACCAATTCACAGCCACTGTCGGCTGCATAGCTTCCACTTTTCCAGCAACATGGTCAAAGGCCACCAGTGAGCTACTGTCCTTCTTTGCCCCCTTCCACAAGGCCTGACTTTCAGGCCAGAGGTCGGTGGGAGTTTCATTCTTTCTTATCTATAATTATTTTCTGGAAGAAGTGACTGCAGGGGCTGGCCAGGGGTGGGTGTGGAGTGTCACCTCCCAAGACAGGCCTCCTCAGAGGAGTGTGCTGACACATGGACCCACCTGCGGTCACTTGGGAGCGTGTGTTAGGAACAAGGGCTAGCGGTGGTTAAAAAGGAGATCTCTGGCAAACGGAGGCTGCCTGTCATGGCAGAATTTCCTCAGATCTGTGACTGAAAGGGACCCTAAAGACAAAAGCAAAAACCTGGGTGCCAGGAGGGTTTCCTGTTATGACTTTGCAGGGGAATCATCAGCAAACAAGGCAGGCGAGAGCAGGCCATGGCCTGGGGCGGGCTGTGCTGACAAGTAGTGTTGAAACGGTGGTGACCATTGAGTAGCTTTTCTTATGTAATGTGGGCACTGGACAGACGGAGCTGGTTTTAAGTCATCTTTTCTTCTAAATGACAACTGGAATTTACATCTCCTTCCTCCTTGTCCCCACCCTCTTTCCCCGTCCTGTTTCACAAATTGGCGACTTCATTTCTTTTTTTTTTTTTTTAAACAAATCTCAAGTCTTGCCTGCGTTCTTGGTCTGCAGGGGGCGATCTGAGACACCAAGAGGTATGACTTAAACGGAGTGTTGGGTGATCTCAGCCTCTTGATGAGCTTGCATTTCTTAAGAGTCCCCAATGCATCCTTAAAGAGTCAAGTCTGGGATCTATTTCTCAAGGCACTTTAGAACAGCAATGTTTTCGGGATGAGGTTTCAGACCCACAAACAGGCCAGAGAACTTTGGAAAACAAGTTATAAAAACAAGCAACAAAAGCAGCCCCTAGAACTCCTCCCAGGAACGGAAGAGAACTGTCTTAAGGCACTGTGACATGGAAGGGGCTGCCGGGAATGTGTTCGTCTCCCCACTTCACGGCCAGAATGTAATCCCCCTTCTCCTTGACCACGTATGTGACATTGTACTGCTGGCTGCCCACATGCTTCATGGAGACCTCTTCGCAAGGGGTGGTGGGCCCATGGACACCGATCAGCAGCATGTTGGAACCTGGGAGGCATACGAAGGTGATTACTCCATGAAGATGTATCCCGGAAGGCAGGGGAAGAGGAGGGGATATAGGAGCCAAAGGAAAGGCACCAGTTACTGCCCGTTGAACTTCAACGATGATGCTGGGAACCTCTGAGAGGTGGCAGAGAGCGGCAATTATGAGCACAGACTCAGAGCCTGATGGCATGGGTTCAAATCCCTGCCCTGCCACTTCCTAGCGTGGTGACCTTGGACATGGAATTTCACCTCCCCATCTTAGCTTCCTCATCTGTAAATGATGGATGACATTAGCACCTAGCTCACATGCAAGTTTTGAGGTTTCCAGGAGTTATTATATGTGAAGCCCTTAGCACACAGAAGGGCTATGTAAGTGATCATTCTTTTAAGAACCATAAAGTACTGTAATTCCCATGTTAGAGACTCTTGAAAGAGATTTAGTAAGTTTCCCAAGTGACATGGCTAATAAGCTTTAGGGAGGAAGGAAGGAAGGAGTTAAATAAGTGGAGGAGCCAGGTTTCCAGCCCAGATGTGCCAGTAACTATTGACACCCAAATTCAAACTGTCATTAAAGCAATCTGTGGCGGAGGGGCCAGGTTACAGTCTCAGTTGGCTCATCCCTAATGGGGGTAACACTGTCTTTCTCATCTACCTTGAGGTCACTTGGAAAAAGCAAGAGGCAAAAGAGAAGAAAACCATTTAAAAATATTAAGAGGAGGAGAACAGAATAATAAACGCGATTACTTGCAAATAGTTGTGTTACGTGGGTGGATGGGCATGCAGACCAGAGCAGGGAAGGTCAAGGAATACAGAGGGCGCTCAGCCTGTCCCCACCTCCACCCTCGAGCAGGCCCAGGCTGCCTACCAGCTTTGCTGCAGTCCACCAGGAAGGAGCTCTTCTGGCCCACGAAGGCCTTTGAGAGCCCTGCCCCCCTGGAGGTCACCTTGCTGGCGTCCGAGGATGCCTTGGGGATGGCGCTATAGCAGGTCTCTGTTGAGGACCTGGTCACTGACTCCACCAGGATGGATGAAGTTTCGTTGGCTGTGCCGGGACCGACCAGCCGCTGGCCTAGGACATGGAAGGGAGGGAGGCAGGCGTGAATGGCCAGACCAAGTGGGTCTCTCAGTGAGTGTCCCATGCAGAAGCCTTAGGAGACCCCCCCACCCCAACACCTGGATCCGAACGCCACCACTTCCCTGTCTCACATGCATACCGTCTTCTAAACCCCCAGAGGTCCTGTCCCACACAAAGGCAAACGGGTGAATCTGGCCTTGGCTGCCAAGCCTTGGAAATCCCTTGCACAGAACCACGTGCCACCCTATAGGATTCACATCTTCCCATTTACAGAAAACACTCCATGTATAAGCAGTGTAGAGCTTTGGGAGGACAGACAACAAAATACCAAAACCGGTTCTCTGCAATGCGAGAGGATGCCTCTTCTGTCTGAAATCTGAATTTTTCTGCAATGAGCTTGTATCTCTTAAAGAACAATGACACTTGGTGTCACTTGGGTGATGGGCTGTGAGGCGGTTTTAACCATCTGGCATCTTTTCCAGTGTTCTGAACGAGGCACGTTTTTATACATGCAATAAAATCTTTTGATTATTTTAAAGGTGAAGGTTAGAAACGGGGCATGGGGGAAGGCTTTCCAGGCCGAATCTACACAAATACAGGAGACTTCAATACATAAACATTCCTTCTTTTCTGCTGGAGACAGAAAACTAACAGACTTTCCAACTTCTACACTCCTGTTCTGCCTACTTATTTGTACATTTCAAAAAGGGTGCCGCCACTTCTTTAGCTTCAAGATTACAAGTAGATTCAAAACATCTCAAATCATCCAGTTTCTGCTAAGGAATAGCCCTGCTGATAAGCTGCCAAGCCCAGTTCCACAGGTAAGAATACCTCAAAGGTGCTTGGCTGTTACCTGTCACCTTGGTCTTGAAAGGGCTGCCCGCGATGTGGTTGGGCCCCCCATATTTGACGCCGATCAGGTAATTCCCAGGAGCCATAGGGGTGTACATGACTTTGTACCCTTCTGGGGTTTCCTGGCAATCCATTTTAACTTTGGACGGGCCTTCGATTGTGACAGATAATGTCCCCGGGCCGGCTCGGGTGGTGTTGATGAAAAATTCAGACTGGATACCTGGGACCAAGGAAGAGGGCATGAACATCACACCCCCGGTTTGGAGGGAGGAAGGGGTGTGGTTTGGGGAGGTTTCCCGGGGGCGTTGAAGCAATGGCAGGGCGTTCCCTCACAGAAGGGGTCGCCCTGGTGCCGCAGGAACCCACAGCACCAGCTCTGTGAGCCCGGCAGAGAACCTCAGTCCCTGGAGGTGGGAACTCCCCGCCCAAGGCAGAGGCAGGGGCACGGCTGACATTTCGCCCACCAGCCCCAACTTCCTGGACACCCTGTTACCTCCTCTCCTCTGGGCGGGAGCCACGGCTGGGGGCAAGACGCCTCAGTGCCAGGCAGCTGCCGGGACCCACTCTGCCTCCAGCGGGGAAGGGAAATGTGGGCCCTTCTGACCTTTCCTTTCTCCTCTGGCTGGGCTTGGGGAAGCCGAGGAGGTCGGGCTCCTCATGCCAGGCACCATGCTGAAGGCTGGGGCAGCCGTTAGGATCTGCCAGCATGCCCCCACCCCACACCCCCAATCTTTGCCACCAACACCAGCAATAAGAACAGGACCAAACTGTGGCTCTGCTAACTGACCACCACCTGCACCACACGGGCTCCAGATCCTGTCCTCAGCATCATTTTATGTGGCCAGTTTAACAAACAATATGGAGGCTCAGGGAGCTTCAGGCCTGAACTGGTCAGCGCTACGGAAGAGAAAGTGGTAGAGCTGGGATCCCACAAGTCCGCACGCTCTTGGCCACCGGCTGGACAGTGGGGCTACCTCGGGTGCCCTGACTGTGGCCCCGAGACATCCCACCTCTGGCTTGGCCCAGGAGGGCCTCCTGCACAGACATCCTGCCTTGTGACATAAGGCAAGCTGGGTGACTGATGACCACGGTGGCATTCCCGCCTGAGCCCACTGCCCTGAAAAAGGCCCCTTTCCAGGCCAGACAGGGATGAGGTAGTCAGTGAGGGCCTCTTGGGAACTGCAACACACCAGCTGCGTGCCCACCCCAGTGCCCTCTGTGGGGCGTCCCTGGCACAGCATCCCCGGGCAGGCCTGTGCTTTTTGCAGAGCCCTGCATGCTGTCCCAGCTGGGAATGAGTTTGGTGTAATCATAGCTTCTAGGCCAGAGGAAGAATTCTTGTTCTGGTTATCAACACAATGAAGGAACAGCTATGGTGCCACCCCCCCCAACTACAGCCTGGCTGCTTCTGGAAGCTCCTGAGTGAGGCTCCTGTCCCAGCCTCCCCCACCCCACATCTCAACCTTGTATCTAAATTGTGCCACTGGGAAGTGCCCCCACCAGCTGCTGCTGAAGCAGGGCGCGCTGGGGAGGGAGGCGAGGAGAAGGGGACAGCATTTCCAGGAAGTAGCTGCAAGGCGACGATAAGGAAAGATATTTTTTAAGTGAACATGAAAAAAAGACCTGGCTGCAGTGGGAAGAAACCCCACCCCTTTAACAAGCTGTTCATCCCCGAGAAGGCAGGGAAAATGAGGTGGGTAAGGGGAAACAAGGCCCTACAGGAAAAAAGCTACGGGAGGCAGCCTATCAGGTGGGCTCTCCTATTATTCCCATTTTGTAGGAAGGAAGTGAGGTTCACGGAGGTCAGATTCCTTGGAGCTAAGGCACTTGCCCGAGAGAAGACAGGAGAAAGGAAACACACATGCGGGGGCCCCTCCCGCCACTGCCTCTAGCGGGAACCAACATGATGCCCCAACATCTCTGGACAGGGGGGTCTTCCCTGCACTCTCACAGGCACATAAACTGAGTTCCTGTGAACTCACGCTGGGGTCCCTGGAACATTCATCAGGAAAACTGCTCTCCAATCCAGCACGTCTGGAACTCCATGGTCTAACTCCCCATCTCTCAGGCCCTCTGCCGCTGAGAGCCTCTCTGCAGATTCTCCACATCCCCTGCTCCACAGCCTGCAGAATGGACCATTTAAAGCTGGAGCCAGGAGACAGAGCAAGCCCACCCATAAAAACTCAGGCAAGCTTGCTTCGTTCCGAAGGTCAGGACGCCAGCTCTCCACCACAGATACCTTTTCATTCCATGTACACTGCAGCTGTGTGATCTTGGGATGAATATTTGGGAAAAGGCTTGGGAGCGGGAGGGCTAAAAAAAACAAGACACCTTCCCCTTGACAAGAGCAATATTTACACAAGGCTTGAAACAGGCGTGCTCTGTACCTCTCCCTCCTGGCTGGGAGCCTCCCTGCGAGACCAGCTCCTTCTCTCAGCAGCATCCAGTGCTTCAAAAGCACAGCCTGAAACCCGAGCTCTCGAGAGGGTGTGCAAGCAGCCAACAGGAAGCAGGAGAGGCCCTGGGCACAGCAGGTGTGACCTAGCAGGAGGGTAAGGTGGCTGCTGGCAGTTGCAGGAGACCTCAGTGGCTGCTGTGGGGCCTGGACCAAGGCCTGCTGTGGCTCCAAGTACCAGGAGGAGCCCATCTGAACTTGGCTGTGGGTTAAATGCCTGCACTGCTGTCTGGGGACCATTCCAGGGCAGCTGGGAGGACCAGGTCCTGGTTCAGGACAGCTCACACAGCAGGCCAGGGGTGCAGTCCCTGCCTCCGGGTGAGCCGGCCACATAAGGAGGCAGCAAAACTCAGGGGTCAAGGGCATAGGCACGGGGGTCATGGACCTGGACTCACCTGTAAAACGGACACCACGTAGGGTGAAATGATACCACACCTCCACAAAGGGCAAGCTGCTGGCCCAGAGTTCAGTGTGGAGCTAGACTGGACGGGCCTGGGGCCTCCTGGCTGTTTTGCTCTGAGGCCACTGCTTTGGCCAGAGTCCTGGGGCGGCCCACTGTCCCCTCTCCCGGGGGGAGGGGGCTCTGCTCTGCCCCACTCACCACTTCAAGGGAGACTGCAAACAAAATGTGCACACACAAGGAATTCAAGAAAACAGGACAGAGCTGCTTTCCTAAGAGTAATACCCAAATGCAAGCCGTGTCCCAGTGAGTCCACGACCAAGAACCTCCTCTGCAGAGAAGCTCCCCACCCTGGCATTCTCAGTAATAATGATACACTGGACGCCACCCGATGCCCACCTCTAGGGTCACAGTGTGAACACTAACTGCAGCCATTTCAGGGGGGTGGCCCTGTATGTTTTGACGTGAGACGTACTTTAAGATGGTGAGTGAAAAAGGCAAGTTGCATGACAGCATATGCAAACCTATGCCTGCTGTTCTGACAAGCCACCTAGCGAAGCAACCTAGCCACCAAGAAATACCGACAAAGAGAACGTGAAGGTCCTCCCCAGCCCTCTGAGCCCCCTTCCTCCTGGACCTAGATGGAGGGGGGAAGGAGAGGCGAGGAGAGAGGGGGAGTTCCACTTTATCCCCCTTGCTGCCTATATTTGTCAGAAGCAAACGTATCCCATCTGGGGCAAAGATTAAGAATACATTCTAACAAGTCCAAAAGCTTCAGAATTCTTTGTTTCAGTCTTTTCTCATGCGCCATTAGGATCAGAGCACAGGAGGAGGAGACAGGCCCGACAGGTCTTCCCGCAGATCCCACAGATCTGATGGGTTCCTGTGTCAGGAATTCGGTGCAGGCAAAGAAACCTGCAACCCCAGCGGGGCTGTGCTCCTCCCCAATACCGGTGTGTCCTGGTCCCGCAGCCAAGGACTCTGCAGGGGCAGACAGCCAACGCACACGCGCCGACGTGTGCCATGGCCATCGAGCCCTCACTCTGGATTTACTATGGGTCCAACCACATATCCCAGAACTGCTCTGGAGGGACAGTGAGAGGCTCCGCAGTGTGCATCACTGAGGTTTCCCCGGGCAGAGGCACAGACGGCATCCCGGGGCTTGAAGGGTTCCGCTGGCTCTGCCCCTGGAGCCGGCTCGCTTAAGGCGCGAGGGGGAGGCAGGATTACCTGTGGTGCCGCCCTCAAGCCCCGAGCCATAGGCAGACACCAGGGCAGGGTTCCCCGCTTGTCCGGGCTCCCCGACGCGCACTTTGAAGGGGCTTCCAACCACATGGCTCCCGTTGAACTTGACGTCGATCGTGTGGATGCCATTCTCATGGGGAATGAAGCGAACAGCGTACTTATCTAGGAGAGCAAGTAGAGGTCGGGGGACACCACCACGTGAGGTGGGACGAAGGCAGAAGGCCAACCCGAGATGGCCAATTTAACATCATTCATAAGACAATGCCTCTACTGGACGCCTGGCACCCAAGATGCTGGATTTTGAAATAAGACGGGCTTGTTTGTGTGCCTAGTCAGCCCTTTGGGAAATGCACCCAAATCTCAAACTCTGTGCTTAATCCTCTGTGGCCTCCACCTCAGAAAATGCTTCTTTTATGAAAACCTCCTTGCTTGTAAAATTTCTCTACTGGGCTTCTTGAAGGGGGAAAAGATGGTTCCAATTGGCATTAATGCTCCCGAATTAAGCAAGCTCCAAGCGAGCAACTTTCCTGAAGGCCAACAGCCAGGCTTGCCGCTGTATTTGGGTCACAGCCTCCCTCAGCCTCTCGCTGGCTCCTGTCCCCTTCATCCCCTTCAGAATTTTTCTTCCCTGAAGCTCCATTCAAACCTTCTTCTCTTCGGCCTCAGGTACTTTCTCTAGAGGAGAACATCTACATGGAACAGCCCACCCCATATCCTCCAACACTGCACTGCTCCCCAAAGTCCCTGGCAGGTACCCACCCCCCATGTCCAGGTATGGCTCTTGGTTGGATCACACTAATGGCAGAGGGGGAATCCCTCTTTCCCCGTGCCTATCAATCAGCACATGGCATTTAGCTATCGGGAGTGACTCAGGAGTAGACGTGTGTGAGCAATGTTCAGTGAGACAGGAGGAGAGGTTTGCTGGAGACTTCTGGGAAAGGAGCACCTCAGACTTCTGAGACAGAATCCTGAGGAGAGGATATCTCTCTTGATTGGTGTGGTGTGAAGATGAACTCTGGTGCTGCTGCAGCCATTTTGTCACTAAGAGGAAGGCCAGTCTTAGAATGAGGCCCACAAAGAAGAGTAGAGATAGATATTAAGGGCCTTGGAGAATGTAGCTGAATGGCTAAATTAAATTGTTACTCTAGCCTACCTTTGATCTTACATTTTCCAGTTATGTTAGTTAATGGAGCCTTATATGTATAACAGACTCTCTTAGCACGTGAGTTATCTTGAAATGAGTATCCTGTAATTTGCAACCAATATCCTAACTGTGGCATGTGGGTGATCTCAGATACCCCTAGGGCTTCAAATACTGCTCGGGGCTGAGGAAACCGAACCTCACTCATTGGCTAAATCCCAACACTGTAGAGATCTGGGAAGACACTTCAAAAACCCCTCAAATAAAATATTAAACCCTGTGTAAGGTTGACCAGCTCTCGCCCCACCATGACTGGCTGTCCCTAGTGTTGCTAAGTGCATTGTCCGCCTTCTCAAAGGCGGACAGTTCCCCGCCTGCTCAGTCATCAAGTAACCTTTCTGAATTTTCCATCACTCACTATGGCCAACTGGTCAAGTGTTAAGAGTTCTCTGGCCCCAAGTCCCTCCCTCGCCATTTCCAATGCTGCTGATTAATACTGTTTTCTCGGATGGACCCCTTGGGAGCATCAGCTCACCACTCTGCCTTTCAGATGTTCCAATTCAACCTCTGTGATGTGGTCAGACTTACACCAAGATATAATCAGTGCGCCCACCTGCAACATTTGCTCCTTCTGAGGCCTCCTGCCCCCATCCTTTCCTTTCCTGCCCTGTGGGAGAAAGACACCTACAGAGATCTCAGAGATCTGTAGAGACCCCAGTCCTGGAGGCCGACCCTCACTGTACACAGAGCAGTCCACATTCAGTGCCACCTCCACTGAGAAGCCCTCCCGACTTAGCAAAGACAGAAACTGTTTTGTTTTTCCTGTTCTGACCATCTTTACAATTTGGTTCTCAATTCTCCTGAGGTATTGGTGATCACTGGGGTCCTCACTTGACTCTGAGCTCCTCTTTGGCGGCAGAAATCGTGTCTTCCTCAGGCTTACCTCCCTGCCAAGTCTCTGGCAATAAATGGTCACTGGCAAAATATCTCATTAAAGTTGCCTGACATCAGGGAATTCCATACATCAAGGCAGCAGGCAACAAAACCTTCTGCTATGAGGCGTATTGGAGACCCAGATTTTCTTTTAAATTTAAATTTACAGATGAACATCTATGGGCCTTTTCCTCAGAGTAAAGTGAGTTCATAATGTATTTATTCATGTCATAATGTCAACAATATAATAAAAATCTGTAAGAGCTTGTTAAAATATGAGAGAAAATTACAATGCATGCAATGTGAAAGGACTGAAAAACAACAGAAAATAAGGCAGTATTCATTTAACAAAGGGAAGCCCGAAGTATCTCCTTGTCCCTGGCAAAAGTTTATACCCTTATTTATAAACAATGCCTGGCAACAGCCGCAAAAGCAATCAGAAGGCTCGCTGGCTTGGGTGGCCGATCAGCCCGCTCCGGGGTGCGCTGGGATCCGCACACCTGGCCTCTGCTTACCTGGCTCCAGCTCGGATACGTGGCACTCCTCCACGGCTCCAGAGGGGCTATGCACCTTTGCATCAATCTTGCCTTTGGCCCCATTCAACCTTATAGCAAAGGAGGCTGGCTGGTTAACTTTTAATCCCGATTCCTGAGAATTTAATACATTTGACAGGTTACGGTGCTTTGTGTGTTATGCTCAGTGGCACGCGCTAACCCGACCTGGGATTCCGGGGGACAGTTGTCATGCAAACAGGCTCAGAATATGTATTCATGGAATACCTGACAAGAGAAGAACAGGTGGGCCAGTCCCCCATGTCTAGCATTAAAAGTAGGACACGAGAGACACATCTGCAGGCTCTTGTACCCAAACCATGTCGATCAGCCTGGAAGAGATGCTACCTGCGTGGGGAGACCTGAGACATCCCATTCAACTAGACTATATGTGGGTAAAACTGGAACATTTCCAGAGCCTCTCGCCTGGCCTTAGTGCATCTCCAGATCAACAGGTGTTTTGAAGGCATGGAGAAAGTAGTCCATCTCCGTATCAACAGGTAATTACAAGGGGGAGCGACAGCACATCTGGACCTGAGAGGTTGGGTGGCGTCCCTTCTTCTGCAGCCCAGTTGCAAGAGACACGGGCGAGCAGAAGTGCATGACTGCTTGTAGGCAATAAACGGGTTTCTCCCACTTTATTTCTTCCTTTGACTGATTTCGGTTTCAAAGGTATTTTGCCCCTGGGATTCCCCACCCCCCGGAGTTACAACATAGTTTCAGCATCCCAAACAAGACTTGTCCAGGCCAGAAAGCCCAGTGCCTTCTAGATAAAAAAATATGTTAAATAAGGGCCCCCTTTTAGGAGGAGCCCAGCTGCTGACAAGATCATGCACTCACTGACATGAACAAAGTGTTATATCTTTGCTATTTTTTTTAAAGCTTTATCTCAAGGGCAGAAATGGAGAGAACTTTTGATAAACTTGTAAAGGGCTACAGATGTAAGGGAGGTGTACTGCACAGTGGTTAAGACTCTGCAGGCCCTGGGGTTACTACCACTTCCTAACTATGTAACTAAGTTATATAAACTTTGGAAAACTAAGTAAGTTCAACTTCTCTGAGTCTCAGTCTCCCGTAAAGGGGGCATAATAACCGACTCTATCTCAGGGAGCTGCTGTGAAGACGAAGTAAAGTCATGCATTCAAGGCACTCTGCAGAGGCCCCAGCTCAGACACAGGAAGTCTCAAAAGGGTCAGCTTATTGCTAAGTATTAATATGCATCTAGAAGTCATCTACGCTTCCCAAAACACAAGAGGGACAAGTATGGCTTTAGCTCTTCACTAGATCAGTTTCACTGTCTATGCTTTGCTCTGCAAACTCTAGCCTCTTCTGGGAGGAGGGGATTAGAAATTTAGCTGGTTAAGATATTTTAGGAAAGGCCAATCCTGAACAGCAAAATTTTACAAGTCAGCAGTTGTGATGTGAATGTGGTTGGACAGCCACTCCTCTGATGGTCACTCCAAAGCAGCAGGGCTTGCTTGCACTTAACATGAAATTGAAGCCCCTGGGGGTCCTGTTAAAATGCAGGTTCACATTCAGTGGGTCTGGGATGGGGCCTGGGGTTCCAGGATTCTAAGTTCCCAGGAGATGCCAAGGCTGCTGGTCCAAGCACCACATTTTAGTAGCCAGGCGCCACAGCCATGCTGTCCAAATCAGCTGTCTTAACTAGACACATAAATTTAAATTTACTAAAATTAAGAAAAATTAGAAATTCAGTTTCTCCACTGCACTAGCCACATCCCAAGGGCTCAACAGCCACATGTGGCTAGTGGCTCCCACAATGCACAGAGGAGATGAGGCGCACTTCTGTCGCTGCTGAACATTCTATTAGACTGCACAGCCCTGGAGGTTACAGACCCAGGAGGGAGGACGAAATTAAGGAGTCTGATCCCCAGATCACTCCCATCCCACCATCCCACCCCTGCCGCAAAATGCCAGCTGACTCCAATTTTCTCAAAAACCTCAAAAGCAAGACAAAACAATACATGCCTCTCTTTCCTAATCAGCCCCAGATGCTGGCATGCAGGCCTCTGGCAAATCTCCGATAAATAATTTACATGGCACTCAGCACCAAGGGACCTGGGAAGCACAGGGGACGGAGCTGAATACACGGCCCTCCTCCTGCAGCAGCCGTTTACAAAAGCTTGAGGGATATACAGGCGCTACATCCTTATTTAGCTATTTATGACCAATGAGAAGACTCTACAGAAAAGATTTTGGAGAGGCTTTCTCCAAAGCAGCTCTTTTTGAACAGAACCATTGATGTTACCTGAATCCATTTGCCACTAAATCCTCAAGAGGGAGATAAACGCCTCGGAAGATCCTAAAGAAATCTTCGAGAAGCATAAGGGCAGCTCTTTGCCCTCAACAAACACTGGGTTTATCTCCCTCCGTAGGTTTTAGTTAAGTCGGCCACAAAGGGAACTCTGTTAAGAAGCCTTTAAATGAAACACAAGAAAAACATCGACACCACAGTGACCAGGTGGTACCCTTGGTGAGGCCTCTTCAATCTCTGGGCTGCGATTCTGACTTGGGTTCCCTGAGCATTGGGCACAACCAGCTCTCCAGGCGAAGGTTAGACTCTAAGCGTAAACTACGTTCACGGAGATCCAATGAGGTCACCCATCGGAGATATACTGCGTTCTAATGAAGCCAGTATTTTTCAAGAACTGGGGGGCAGCTGAAGGCTATTCAGAAACCCCTTTAACTAGAAATCTGTTTTGGGATTCCGGTGTTACTACACAACAGAATTGCTACTCCTGACTCAGACACCTAATTATTTTTCAGTGACCTGAGCAAACACTCAAAGGGATCCCCAGTGGTTCATAGTTTGGCTGAAGGCTCTAATGTAACTTTGAATTAAGTGACCTGTTTATGACAAGGAGAAAAGTCGCCTTTCCTATAGGGTGGACTATGTCATCACACGCCACAGTGCCAGGGTTGGGATCAAGGAGGCTGCTGTTAAGAACACAGGTTGTGGAGCCACTGGGTTTATCTCCCTCCGTAGGTTTTAGTTAAGTCAGCCACAAAGGGAACTCTGTTAAGAAGTTACTCTGACCCTACTAGCTGGTTTCTGGGAGCCACAGACTCTCTGCATCTCAGTTTTTCCATCTTTAAAATGGGATCAAGGGAAACTCACTCACCAGGCTGTTCCAAGGGTTTAATGCGGTAACAGTGCCTGGCACATGTATTGTAAATAAACAGTAATAAAATAATCGCAGTTGACTTTCTTGAGGAAGCCAACAGCAGCAGGTTGAACATGACTGGACTGTTAGTTTGGCGTCTGCTTTGTTTTGAAAGCTTTCCTTGTCCCTTAAATAATTATTAACAGGCCTCCTTTGTTTCCCTTAAATAAATATTTAAAAAACAGACTTGTCCCCAAACATTGAGGTGTTCTGTTGACCGAAGCTGGTTCTGCTTGCCCTCAACCATCTCCCGTCCTCACTGCCTGGGCAGCTGACTGCCACGGGGCAGTCAATGCCTGGGGTCAGAAGGGCTGGGGCTCTCGGCATGGGGGGGGTGATTGAAGCGGCCTCAGGACTCCAGGGTCTCACTGGTTGGCCTGTGGCCAAGGGGACAGATGCTTCCTTGTGTCTCACCTGAAGGCTCAGAACAGTGAGGCGGCGGGCGTCGTCAGAGGGCGCGATGACCGGGACCACGTAGGGGCTTTCGGGGATGTGCTCATCGTTGAACTTGATGGACACCTCGTAGTTACCTGTGCGGACAGGAAATTCCCATCATTTCAGAGGCTCCGGGAAGTGGTTCCAGAGAAGGTTTTTGCTTCTTCACCTAGGGCTTCAATGCCTTCCAGGAGACCCTGCCCTCCTCCAAGGCCGTGGTTGCCTGGCAGAGGCTGGGCCAGTCTGCTTTTCTGATTTGGGCAAGGGCACAGATTCTCAACCTGGGGCCTCGGGGTTCCCCAAAGGGCCTGTGTGCAGAACTCAGGAAATCCACAAAACTTGAATGGGAAAAAAAAATGTGGCTTTATTTTTACTAACCTCTAAGTGAAACCTGGCATTTCCTTTCTTTAGAAATGTTGGCAAACATCCACAGCATATGAGGACTTGTGACTTTATCACCAACAAAAATTACAGCTATTTTTGTAGCACTTTACAGTTTTACATATATCTTGACACATGACTTACACACCGCTATTTCGAAATTAAGGTCTAAAAGACGTCCCCCAATCTTTTGATTTAATGTATTAATGAAGACATGTATATGTTGCTGTTACTCATTTCTCTTAAGGTTTTGATAACTAAATTTTAATATAAATGATTTTCTTTACATTCCAATCTGTCTAATTTTGTGTTTCAAAACATTATCCTGAGAACGATCCCCACAAGCTTCTCCAGATGCCAAAGGTGTCTGTGGCCTGGAGGGGGTTGAGAACCCCTGCAGGACGGAGCTCAGATGCCGAGGCCACTCTTCTGGGGCAGCTGCACCAGCCAGAGGCTGAGGGCAGAGAGAGGCTGGTCAGTGGAAAGAACAAAGCAGCTGAACATAAGCACGAGACAGGGACCCATGGGGATGGACAAGAGGCAGTGAGAACAGAGATTCCTGCCCCTTTAAGGCCTGGCTGGATCTCTGGCAGCTGGTGCTCGCATGGGCCCATATTTGTAAGTGCCTCTCTTCTCAAGCTAGCTTGATGGGTTTTCGTTCCTTACAATCTCACCATCCCTGAACAAGGAAAATGTCCTCAGTTGGCCCTTGTGTACGTACCAGGCTCTTGGGCAATATAGGACACACCGCACGATCCGTTTTTATGGTCATCGAATGTGATCTCGGCCTTACTGGGGCCCTCAACAGCGATGGAGAGGCCCCCGGCCCCCGCTTCCCGGGTCCAGATGCTGAACTCAGCTGAGATAGAGAAACACCAGGTTAGTGACCCAGCCCGGCATAGGCCCGACGTCTTACTCAAACTCACAGTGCCAGGTAATGCCTGATGTCAGCTGTTCTCTCTCTAACCCTGAGCAGGACCTGAGGGAAAGCATCACTGAGGTTTCCTGGGCACCAGCCATGATTACTAATGTCAGGGGAAATCAGGCGTCTTTGAAGACACCCAAACTGAACCAGAAAAAAATGGAAAATGTTGTTTTGTCCTCCCAGACCTTCCCCCCAGCAACCACCACTGGAAGGGACGTTGCATAATCGGTTTGGTAGAATTGTGGTGCATTCCACTGAACGTCAGCCCTGCAAGATGCCCTGGAAACAGCTTCACTGCTCTGCTCCCCTTAGAGACTCACGACACATAGTCGCTAATTACCGGCTCCAAGCGGTTCCTCAGCAAGAAAACTGTTTGGCTTCGGGCAAGTGAGCAATTCCCAAATGTATTTAGTCACAGAAGCCTGGCGTAAAGAATGCCCCCAACACCACCATCAGAATCACACAAACCACATCCACTCCGTAGAACAGGGAGAAGAGAGCAGGGTGCAGACGCTGCAGGACTGACTCGTATTCTCCACAACAAAGCCCACCGGGAACTCGGGACGCTCACCTGGGACTCCTGCTTCTCCTCTCTCCAGGCCGGGGCCCCCTGCCCGGACCTTGTGGGCACCCCCCTCTCCGAGCGGCCCCACGGTGAACTGGAAGGGGCTGCCGGTCACGTGCTGGCCGCGGTACTTGACACTGACCGTGTGAACACCCATCTCCTGGGGCACAAACCGGACACAGTGCGAGTTCTTCCCCACGGACACAATCTCTGCCTCGGTCACGCGGCCGGAGGGGCTGGTGACGTGGGCCGACATGTCGCTGCTGTCGATTTCTGAAGTGGGGTGGGGTTGGGGGGAAAGACAGGAGTGTGAGGGAGAGGGCCTGGGGCAGAGCGGGACACGCGCACGGGCAGCAGGGGTGAGGCGTGCTCAGGCTTCCTCGCTTTCAGGCTGGAGGCCCCCACCCTCCCTTGGGTCCCTGGGCGGCGGGGCCAGCACGGAGGGAGCGCCCAGTCCCCAGCGCAGAGAGCATTCCGTGGACACTGACGCTGACTCGCCCCACAGTCTTTCACAGCCTTCCTGGCTGGAGCTAATCCCACCACACGGCGGTTTCAAACCAGAGCCTGAGCTGTTAGTTGCAGCAGGTAAGTAAAAACTATGGTAACGCAGATGTTTCTAGGCCAAAGGTGACATGTGGCCATCCGTCATGCTCACAGGGGCTATTTTCCAAGGGCAGGTAAGGATGGAGAACTTAAGAATGGTCATCCCTCACTGTCAAGAGGCCTTGGCATTCTTTGAGGCAACAAGACAAAATGCATTTAGTGGGAAAAGGTGAACACACGTCAGTCCCCACAGCAAAGCGAAAACCATGTGTGAGTAAAGCTTGGAGCAAACCTGAGACCAGAGGCCAAGCTTTCAGAGAAGCAATGCCTCGGGTCCCCGACCCCGGGAAGCAGACCATGTCCACTCCGCCAGCAGTGAGCATGCCATGCTGACAACCATGCCCGCACTGGCGTGGTGAGACAGGCACACCACATGCTGGGTGGCCAGGTGAGGTCACCTAGAGGCACCTGAAGCGGCACCCACCAGCCCTACAGGATCTGGGCTGAGCAGCTCACGACTCTAAGCCCTGAGGACAGAGGAGAAAGGAAGGGGGGCTGAGGAGAGGGTCACCCCTCATGGCCTGGGGCCTGAGGACATCTGGAAGCTGGTGAGCTGTGCTCCCTTCTAACTAACGAGACAGGATCATTTAAGGGATGAGGGCGAAAGTGAATCTCACCCGGAGTTGCCTGCTGCCAAGTGACCAAACAGAACAGAAATGAGGGAAGAGCCAGAGGGCTTTAAGGCCCAGGTAATTGTGCGCATCCCACAAAGACGAGATCCCCCTGGCTCCGCAGGAACCAAGCAAAGGGGATGACCAGGTAGTTTGCAAAATGTCAAATGAAAAGTAAATGAAAATGCAGGCCATGTCACTATGATCAGAGTAATGAAACTGGACATGGGACACCGGATTTTCCATCTAACTGGTCAAAGTGAGAATGAGAGTGCCCAGTGCTGGGGGTGGAATGGGCAGTCGGGCACCAGTTTGCCCTCTGAGGGCAGTCTGCCAAGGCAGAGCAGCATCTGGTACTTGCCAGCCTGTCAGCCCCACCATCCATCCGACGTGACGCCACGTGGGCACGCAGTGGCGAACAACACAGAGTCGAGGGGTGGAAATGAGTTTGCATGAAATGGGACTCCCCAGTGAAGGATGGCACCCGAGACACTACTGGAATCTTACTTAGTTGTTAAAAATATGATGTGGCAGTGTATGTTCTGACGTGGAAGTTGCCCACGATACAGCGTGCAACAAGTGCACAAGAGTGTTCTGTCAGCGACCCCACATGGCCATGCGGCTGTAGGCACCTGGGGTGCAGCTCTGTGCCTCGATGTGAGCCACAAGCCCTGCACGGTGGCATATGAGGTGACACTTCCCCCACTTTTAGGCAGATAAGCTTTTCATGGTCACAATCCATGGAAGCCCATTTTTTGCATGATTCTGTCTGGACACTACAGGGGCGATTCACGGCGGGAAGCGCCCATTGACTATAACTGAGGAGGAGGATAAATAGATACACCACACAAGAAAGGGGACAATGCAGTGTAGGAAGAACAGCCCCCTCTCCGCATCACCATGCGAGCTGCACCCGAAGATGATTTCGACTTCCCATCGCTACCACAGCTAGGCAAACTCCACAGCAGGATTCCCAAACCCACACTCACAGAGGCCCTTTGGGAGGGTTCTTTAATAAAGGGCCTGGACCACATGTCCAACAGAAATGTCCATTTATGTGATCCATGGCCATCCTGCCTGACAGCACAAACTGATTCAAATTTTAGGAATGAAAGAGATGAACGGACATTGGAAGGATGCGATGGACTGAATACTCCTTAAGTGCTTCCAGATATTGGCATCAGCAGGGCCAGTCTCTCACTGACATTATTTTGTTGGACAGACAGTAAATTACAATCTAAAAGCTTATCTACTGTCGCCCATGATGACACAGTAAGGCTATTTTCACTGGGAAGAAAAAAAAGGTAGCAGGTAAATACTTATTTTGCCTGGATGGGTCTCTGTGAAAATAAATAGTAAAAATGTAAATAAATATAACATATATAAATACATAAATTAACTAAAACAGTCACCCATAGTGGACTTGGCCAGCACGTTCTGGGCCATGCCCCGAATTGTTTTCTAATGGCACCCACTGCCCTGAGCCAAAAGTCCCCCGTGCGCACCTGGGATTTTCAGGTTGAGGTCACAGATGCTCCCGACGGTGGCCACAGACGGGGCCCGACTGGTCCGGGTGATGCTCTCCTTGACTCTTCCCTCCCCGCTGATCTTCACGGTAAATGGGCTGCCTGCAGGGACCGAGAGGCCCCCGTGAGCAGCCCAAAGGCTGAGGCACAGCATTTAGGGAAAACGCAAGCATCAGACTGAGCAGGGAGAGGGGGCCAGACGTACCGGGCACGTGCTCGTCGGCGAATTTGGTGGAGACTATGTACACGCCGGGCACGGTGGGGAAGTAGGATACCTTGCAGGTGCCGTCTTCCAGGTCTTCTGTCTGGATGTCCACTTTGCTGGGGCCTTCCACGGCCAAGGATATGCCGCCGTAACCTGCAACACGTTAGCCCGTGAGCTGTGAGAGCAGTTCATGGGGAAGGGGGAGCTTGATGCCAGTGGAAAGGACGTCCAACCCCAGAAACTACAAAAATGTTATTTCCAGCTGCAGAAAGATAGTAGTGGCAGCCTGTTGGGGAACCGTGGGACAAGGAGCAGGTTCGAGGCTCTGAGAAATGCTGCAGTGAAGTAACCAGCTGAACACAGTGGAACTCTTTTCTCGAGTTAACTAGGCATTTACTGTTCCCCCAGCACGTGTGCTGCGGAACCCCACCCAGGAAGACCTCTGCCCACAGGCCTCCAAGAATGGCACATGCTGCCTTGGGGCATTATCACCAGCCCGGGCTTGAGAATTTGAATTGTTAAACTGCCCCCAGCCGCCTTGGATGTCCAGCCCGGGAACTGCTGAGACAGCAGCTCTGAAGGTTTAACAACTTGAGCGTCAGCAAGCAGAACCGGCGCATCTTCAGCCCCCTCTTCGGGACTGTGAATTTGCCTACAGGTCACCAATACAGCCATCACTCGAGACAGCAGAAGATAAGGACCCTGGGAGGTGGCGCGGTTTGGAGGGGCCCAACCTAAGCCACACCACGTTGAAGAGGAAATAGGAAGAGATTCCCATTTCCACAAGAGCACTGCTCACCCCAGCATGACCTTGCTTGCTTGGGATGAGTCCAGACAGGAGACCCCAGGAAGCTGGGAACAATGGTGGGAGCAGACAGTGAGAAAACAGGCTGTGAGCTAGTGTAGCTCTTGGTTCAAATGCCAAAGCAAACGGGCTGTTAACCCCTCTTGTGAGCCTGTTTCTTCACCTAGAACACAATCCCTGCTTTGCCAAGGTCACGGGAGCCTCAGCTGGAAGGATGCAAAGAAAGAAAAGGGGTTTGTACATGAAAAGACAGAGCAGCCTGCGCGAAAAGACAGTCCCCATGAGCTCTGGGCCTTTCCCCTGGGTGCCCACAGACCTGCATCCCTTGTGTCCACGATGAAGTCAGACATCTCGAAAGTCCGTCCTTCTGACAGGCCGCGGCCGTAGACTTTGGCTCTGCGGGCGTCCCCGATCTCAGACTGGACCACCATGATGGACACGGGGCTGTTGGCCACGTGGTCGCCATTCTTCTTGATGCTGACCAGGTGCTCGCCCACCTCCCGGGGGATAAAGGAGATGCCTGAACCAGAGCACAGAATGGGGTTTGCACGGTGGGAGCAAAGGGGAAGGAGTGGGAGGGAGACACGCTCACAAGAATGGAAATAGGTTTCCTTCCTAACTTCCTTGCAACCTGCAGAAACACACCTGGGCTCTTGTCCTGCGCATGACCCAGCAGGCCTAGTGCATCACCCCCCCGAGGTGCCACCGTTTCCCAGGAAAGACTTGAGGACGCCCAGCCCCAACCCATGACATCCCGGCTCCAGCCAGAAAGGCAGCCTGGGCTCACCGATGTGATTGTTTGGCAGCCTCTTCAGGAGGCAGGGCTCGTCGCGGCCGGACGGGGCCTTGATGCTGGCTGTCAGGGTGCTGAGGTCGGTCTCGCTGATGTCGAGCAGGAAGTCAGCGGCAGAGCCCAGCTTCACCTGAGAGCACCGTCTGCTGTCATCTGGGAAACCCCCCAACACAGCCCCATTAGATGTGGTCACCCCAGTTCTGCGGAGCTCTCGCTCCCCAGGCCATTGACAGATGGACGAAAGAGAGTGAATTTCCCTAATCTAAGTGGAAAAAAACGTGCCTCAGACAATGAGCAGACCGAACCAACTTTTGCATGGTGAAGGGGAAGGCTAGGAGCTGGTGGGAACCAGGGACGTAAGCCCTCTCAGACCACCTCTAACAGAGTCGGCCACCTGCCGCCACCCCCTTGGGGATTCCTCGGGTGAACACTCCTCGTGCTCCACACAGGGCTGCCAGCTGCTTCCCAGATGTCCAGCACCTCAGAGTGAGAACCTCGTCCCCATAATCTTCTCTATAAACCACTGAGACCATGATCTGAACACAAGAGCAGAGATTAGGGGCATCGGCTTTGAATCAAATAACCCAGATCTGAATCCCAGAATACCCACGTGTGAACCTGGCTAAGCCACTACCTCCCCCAGTCTCAGTTTTTCCACCTGTAAAATGGAGAGAAAATCGAACTGGTCATGATGCTGGGGGGCACCTTTGAGCTTGTGTCATGCAACAGGTATTACTTGAAAGCGTCTAGCTGGGGGCCTCTTATTTGCAGGCTGGTGTCAGACTGGCCCAAAGTAAACACTCCGAATGGCAGTGCTTGTTTCTCCCTGGGGGAGCAGCTAAGGAAGAACTTCGGTCAGCCCAGAGTGGGCTCTGCACCCCTGGGTCCCAAGGAGTGTCTGTAAAACCTTAAGCTCAAGCAGATGCCTAGCGTGCTGCCCCATCTGATGGGGGGAGGCTGTCAGGGAGACGCCTGGAGCGCCAGCCAACCGCACCTGTGATCTTGGCTGTGAAGGGGCTGCCAGGGATGTGCTTGTCGTTGTACTTGACCAGGATGCTGTAGTCGCCTGGCAGGGTGGGCAGGTAGGTCACTGTGCACGTCCCATCTTTGTTGTCAATGCAGCTGATTTCGGCCTTTGAGGGCCCCTCAATAGCCAAGTCCAGGCCTCCTGTGAATGGGAGCCGGGAAGGAGGGTGTCAGGGAGGGACTGTTCCTTTGTTTCAAGAGCTAACAGCTCAGCCAGGTGCCTGTCACGCTGGGCTGACAGATGAAGTATGTCACATAAGCCACGGGCAAGGGGCATATGGCAGAACAAAGCGATTATGTGGTAAAAACGCCCCACTGAGATGACAGTCCACTGTGAGGGACCTAAAGTGTTCTCTATTCTTCCACATGTGTGGGACAAAAAAGGGGTGGATGCCAACTGCACATACAGGAGAGAGTCACACACAGACTGGCACCGCTGGATGGGCCCTGGAGGCCATCATAAAAATCCCATTAGAACCACAAATTTAGAAATCTCCATGGTGACAATGGGTGCGGGCACAGAGTTTTACCTCATTTTTTTTTAATCACTAATAACTCATGCGGTTCTAGAAACATGTAAAAGAACAAGAACAAAACATCCGCACCCAAACACACTTACATTTCAGGCACATCACATGGAACATTTCACAGCACACATCTGATTTTAACCACAACACAAACGGTGTCAAAAGTTTTGTAGAAGACAGCAGCCCTCCATAAGAGATTTGGGTGACAGAAAAGGTAAGAAAAATACTACTCTTCCACAGCCTTATGTTTATCAGCTGCCCTGGAACCATGTCCACTGAGCTCTGCAAATGGAAGGCTGAAAGTGTATGACATAAACCACACAGTACCTTCTCCTGCATCCTCGGTGACGATGGTGAAGGTGGCGGTTTTACTGGCCACTCCATACACCAGGCCTGGACCGTAGGCAGAAACGCTCCCACTGTTGGGGTAGTTCACGTAGAACTGGAGCGGGCTCTCTGGGTTTGCAAAGAACACAGAATTGGGACTCGTTGAAGGGGGGATGCAATACGTCGGACAACTGGTGTCTTAATGTTCACCTAACAGTTGGCAGGTGTGATGTCTCCTGCACAGAGGTAGGAGGCAAAATAAGGCCTGGGTGGAGCTCACCATCCACAGACACCCCAAGGGGTCTACTCACTATTGTTCCTTCAGTTGCTGCACAAGACAACCAGCCCTGAGGCTGCTGCAGACCAGAGGGGCCTAAGGCAGGGGTATCAGCTCAGCTTGGCAAATACGGGAGACAGCTGGCCACACGGAGAGATGACCCGCCACCAGAGGGAACACAACCACAAGGTCTCAGGGGAAGGCCATTTCTAGCGCCTTTCAAATTTAAGACCTAGAGCCACCCTCCCCACCTGCAGTCCTATCCACCCACCCCTCCTCCCAGCCCCGGCCAAGTACCTCATTTCCACAGTCATAACATGCCAGTTAGGAAAAAACCCCAGGGTCCAACAACAGGGGGCTGGTTAAATGAACATTGGTTATTACAAAGAACCAAGGAGATGTGTATGTACTAACTTGAGAGATTATCCATAATGCGCTGCATTAAAAAGAGAAAAGCCATGTTGCTATATAACAATTATCCCATTCCTTTAAAATAGAACAAAATTGTATGTATGACTGTAGGCAGAGAGCAATGTCTGATGAGATACCAGTAGTGGAAACAGAAGGAAAATGGGAGAGACATTTTTCTGCTCTTTCTTTATCTGCATTTTAGAATATTTCAATAGAAGCAGAGAATACATTTTTGCTCTAAACAAATATTATACACACATATACACAAACACTAAAGCAAACATCAAACTGGGATATTTGCAGCGTCTATCACAAAGGGCTAATCTCTCCAATATTTAAATGGTCTCAGAAACTGGTATGACAAAGGCCAATAACCAGAGAGAAAAACCGGGCCAAGGATACAAACGTTCGAGCCACAGAAAAAGAAATACAAATAGTACTTAGCCATATAGAAAGTTGCTCGATCTCATTCGCAAGTACAAAAAAGCAACACTCAGATACTGTTTTTTTGGTTCAACTATCAATTTGGCAAGGATCCAAAAATTCGGCAGCATATTCCCACTGCTAATTGGTGGAGAAGCAGGTGTTCACTTTCATGGCTGGTGGGTGCGTTCATGCAAAGAGCGCCCAAAGAAAGGCAATTTGGCAAGAGTATTCAAAAACACAGATGCCTGTATCAGTGCCCAGCAATGCCCCCTGCCCGAATGAAATCTCGGCTCCACCTTCACGCGTGACGGCTGCAAAAGGCTATCAGTACAGCATGACTGGTGATAGAAGAGACAGGAAGAACCTAAATGTCCTCCAGTGGGGACACGGGGACACACGTAATGGTTTATCCAAATTCTGGGACACCATGAACATGCTCTATCATTTACGCGTGCAAAGCTCTCTTGGATACTGTCAGATGGAAAAGGACAAGGTCAGAGTGACATGTACAATGGGAGACTCTTTTATGTAAAAAAGGAAGGATTAAGAATCTGGATTCCCATTTGCTTGTAGAGTCTTAAAATGTTCTGAAATCCAGCATAAAAAATTAACAACAGCCAGGTTCAAGGAGAGGGCAGGAGGGACACATGGGCGAGAAGGAAACCTTTCTCTACCTCATCTTTAAACTATGTGAATATGTCGCCTGCTCAAAGTACGAAATTGAAGAGCTATCTAAATGATTAAAAAAGAGAGAGAACAAGAATGACATGGTACTGGCCGATGGACATGAAACCTGAGCTGGCTCTCCTTGTCACAGGCAGTGTGACCATCAGTCAGCTTGTCCTCTTCCCACCCTGGCCCCCCAACGCCATGCAGGGCTCAGCGGGCCAGGCTGCAGGCCCCTCAGTGTGCCTCACACTTTTTCTCCCGGCTCACCCTTGGCCACACTTGGCATAGTGACAAACACAAATCATCACAGACCCGGGGGCCTGCGCTTGACCCAGGATGCTTCGCCGCACCATCCCTTTGGGAAATGAGCTGCATATTCTGGGGCCACAGGCTCTTTAGCTTCCCAGGGATGCCGATACTGCGTTCCCAAACCTGGCACCGAGAACCGTTCCCCACGCAGCAGCCGACTGCATGTCTCTGCAAACCTCCCGAATGTGCGGATCTCTGAATCCTGGATGCCTATGGGTCGTGCGGCTAGGCGCCGAGCCCGACTCACCAGGGATGTGGCTGCCCATGTATTTGATGTGCATCTCGTGGAGCCCCACCTCTGTGGGGGCGTATCTGACGGTGACCGTGCCGTCCTTGTTGTCCACAATCTCCGGGGCGGCCGTCTTCCCGGAAGGCATGTGGACCTCTCCTGTTGGAGCACAGGGAGGCAGGGCAGTGAGCCCACCAGCGACTTTCCCCGGAAAGCCGAGCACAAAGACCTTCAAAAGAAAAGTCTTCAGATCCAAGAACACTCACTGCCCCAAATACCCGGCGGAAATCCAAAAATGCAGCAGGCAACTCCTAAGTGAAGGGTTTTCTACTTTTGTACTGACAAATCAGAGGCTCAAACAGGACTTGAATAGGCCAGTAGGATGACGAGGCCCTCAACTCTGAGAAGAGCAAGCATTCAAAGGAGGCTGAGAAGGACTCTTGCCCAGGAGACCTCAGTGTCATTGTCATATCCGGAGAAGTGGAAGAATTAAGAGAAGATGGGACAAAAGGGGGTCTAGGCACCTGACGGTGGAGGGGCAGCTAAACACAGCAGCTATTAACCTGGAGAGAACCCCAGCCTCTCCAGGAGGAAAGCTAGTTATAAACCGACCACTCTTCAGGCGTGCACACACACGCGCACACACACACCATTCCGCAGTCTCAGGGGGCGGGTGGGAGCACCTCCAGGGCTCCCTGTGGGGAGCTGGTGGAGCCAGTGAGACCCAGACGGCTTTCAGGGAAGTGCTTACCAGTAATTTCTCCTTTCCTGACGGCAAACGGAATGACCAAGTCAAAAGGCTTAAATCCCAGCCCGTTCATGTCACTAACTGGGACATAGGCCTCTTCGGTCACCTGAAAACAGGAAGCAGCAGTCACTGGGCGAAGCGGACAATGGCGTGGGCCAGGGAAGCAGAGGAGGCAGAGCAGCTGGGAATTCTGCAAGCTACTGCAGCCGGGATCGGGGCGGTGGCTGCCCGGCAGCAGGCCTCTGCCCAAGCAGCCAGGGCCGGCCTGGAACCTGAGGGATTGGAGGGGCATGCCGACCGATTGCTAATGTTCACTAGGCAGTTGGCTTGTAAAATTCCCAGCAGTGCCCATGAGAAAGTGGAGAGGGGAGAGACAGCAATGTCTGTGAGTCCCAAGAGGTTCCACCTGGAAAGGTTTAGTTGCTTGTGGCCTGGAAAAGAAGGTGCATTTTAAGTGGCAGAAAGTAGCAGCAGGTGGCTCTCCCCCTGGACAGAAATCAAATGTGCAAGTGGCGCTTTGAGAGTGAAGACAGCTGTCTGTCTTTCCCTTTAAACGCGGAGACAAACCGAGCGTGATCACAGGCGTGATGGCTGGCGATTCGTGGAGTGCATATGATGCCCCAGGTGGGCCCCATTACAGAGAAAGTGGGGATCATTGTGATGGACTGATCAGTGGGGGACAAACAATGGCCAGGACACCCAGAGGGCTAAAGCAATCCCCAGAAGCAGGCTGCAGCTTTTCTGAAATGAAGGCTTGAGTAAATATAGAAATGCAAAAAAAGGAATAAAAACACAAAACATAAAAAAGCAAAAGTGTACCCAGGGCCTGAATCCGGGGGGACATGCATTTACTGGTGCCTCCTTCACGGCCTCGACTTCCCCATCTGTGGCCTGGTCAGTGGTAAAGGGAGATTAGTTGGGAGTCACACTGGAGGAACATCGACGCAGTAGATTCTACAACCTGAGGCTGCATCCTCCCCACCTGCTCTGTCTTGTATAGCAGGGAACCCCTTGCCCTAGTGGGAGCCTCCATTCTTCCCAACCCTCTGGATAGCCATCAGCATCCCCTCTTCATAGGTCAAATCCATATGCCCTCTGAACCCACGACCCCCACTTTCAGGAAATAGGCCTATAGAATTACTAGCAGAAAAGTCCACAGACAAGTGATGTGTGTTTTACTAGAACTGTTAATGGTTGTGGGAGCCCGAAACAGCCTAACATGTCCATCTGCAGGAAGTCAGTGAAGTAAATCTGTACAGCACAGCGCTGTGCAGCCATTCTGAAGAGGTGGTCGTGTCTGATGAGCCAATGTACACAGGCGTCCACAGCCTACTGAGGGAGGCAAGCAAGCTGCAGAGGGCCGTGTGCAGGGTGCAAGGAACCAGGGCGTCTGGTGCGTGCAGGAAAAAACTACCACAAGTCACCACTGCACCATGAAACTAGGAAAGTGGCCTCGTTACTCGGTAAGTAGCTCAGTGTTTCTAAAGTCTTTCTAAATTCGTTTTCAAAAATCACAGACTTCACGCTCCTGATCCAACTGACCTGGGAATGGGGGAGCCCCCTCAGCCCCCTCCCTGCCACAAGAAACAACCAGAACCAGCAGGCCTGCCCTGCAGAGGAGGGCCTCCGGGACCACCTTGGTCCTTCTAGTGTACTTGGCGTCTGCAGAAAGGGGGCTTCATTTCCAAAGGCAGCTCTGTGAACTTCAACATTGAAACAGCCCTATCCCCCGCTTCTAGGGCCCCCAGAGATTGGGGCAACACAGGCACACACCGGCTGGGAGGAAGAGCTTTCAATGGCTAACGAGGCAGAAAGCTGCTAGACCCATGGCTTCACGTGCACACCTGTGCGGCGTCTTCAGCCAACCAGCCTGCCCACCTCCTTGAGGAAGTCTCTGCACAGGCAGTCCCGGGCGTTCATGTCCTTTGGTCCCTAAGTCTGTACAGGGAGGCATGGAATCTACCCACAAGAAGCCAGTGAATGAACAGAAAGTCAGTCCTAGTTAAGGCTGGAGAAAAATTGGGATTGGAAAATAAAGACCAAAACCAGGTACGGGGGTGCTCCTCCCTTCTACCCCTCATCGGTGGTCGGGGACAGTGTGTCTGCACTTGGTGTGCACTCCAGGGACATTTATTCCTAATGAGTTCGGTGGCCCCACTTCAGGTCTCTGATTCATCTGCTAAAATGGTCCTTAACGTAGTCACACTGGTTTTCCCACCCAGACCCCCCCTAACAGGGTCTCTCCTGCCGGCTCATTGCACAGGCAGGGCTGGGAGCTCTGTCCAGGGGTAGCTCTTCCCCACTGCCCCGTTCTGCCTAACCAGACAAAACCCACCATGGGCTAAACACAGATTCTTCAAACTGGAACTGGAACCCTTCTCTGTAAATAAGAGGGTCACCAACTTTCTAGCTGCATTTCTTTCTGCTCTAAAGGAGGAAAACACTCGCAAAGGAACAGTGTCAAAAGTTAACAAGCGTTTATATCCTTGAGATATACAAGACCACATCTCTGGCACAATGTTTATAGATAAACAAACGTCTATGAAAAGTGAAAAAAAGCTACAAAAGATTACACTGTTTGAGGACAGACTTGGGCTTCTGTTTGGAGGGGAGGCTTCCTGCCCTCCTCCATTGCTGCCTAAAGTGAAATCATTAGAAGGGGTTTTGTAGGCTGTGCACGGGGCAGGTCACTGAGGCCCTATGCATCTCTTTACACCTCTTCTGTAAAAGGGCCAACGATCCTTGGCGTGGAGAGTTAAACGCAGGAGCGCTCCTAAGGTTTCTAATCTCTCTCCTGGTTAAAGAACCTTCATGATCAGAGGAAGATCTCAAAGTTCTCAGATGGAAAATTAACGAGGCTAGCCAACCTCTGGCCCAGGGGTTTGCAGAATGCTTTTCCCTTTATGCCAGATGTTCGTAGCTTCAAAAGACAAGCTGTTTGCCCCTCATATGAGAAGACTGAATCTTTCCAAAAATAAGGTACTTTGAGTCCTGGGATATCAAAGCCAAGTACACAGCAGCACCCTGAACCTCTCTCCTCTGGGGGCGGAGGAAGTAGTAAAAACATGCAGAATAAAAACTGCGATGCTTACATTTTTAGTCAAAGCGTTTCTGAACTGCTGTCTAGGACCCCTTGCATGAGGAATACCTCGGTGGTGGCAACATTCCCGAAAAACTTAAAGTCAAAGGGCTCTGCATTTCTGGAGATTACTCCAGGACCCCACAGTCCAGGACTCCTTGAGTGACTGCTGAAGAAAAAATTTTGAAAGAAAAAAAATAGTGGCAGGGGATGACCTAGCCAGACTTTAACAAATGATAGTGGCTATTGTTTCTGCTGGTGACAGTGTGCTCTAGAGAAGGACCTTTCCTTACCATGACAGTGAAGGGGCTGTTGGGAATATCGACGCCGCCAAAGCGCACGTAGATTACGTAGGTGCCCGGCTTGGCGGCCGTGTAAAAAATGTCATAGGTGCCATCCTCGTTCTCGATGACATCGGCCTCAGCCTCAGTGCCGTCTGGGGTCAGAACTGTGCAGGTCACCTTCCCCTTCCCAGCTGTCTTGGCGTCAACCACAAAGCCCACTTCCTCTCCGGTTTTCACAGTGGAGGCGATTCCCGGACCTGGAGAAAAGTCCAGGAGAAGAGAATGGAAGCTTCAGCCACAGACCATCATCCTGGAGGCCCAAGAACAAATCACACACACATGCTGTCTCTATAAACATGACACTGTCAACTGCCACCACACACAGGATGTCCCAGAGGTCACCCAAGGAAGGTGCTGCTCTAGGGAGCACCCCATCTATACCCATTAAATAAGGATTCTACAAGCTCTGAGTGTCAATCAAATGTCAGATCTGGTTTGCCAGCATTCAAGGGCGTGGGGATGAGGGTCAACTTACACCAGCAAACACACACTGGGCATTTTCTTAAGTGCCAGGTACACACAAAGGTAAGCAAAATAGTCTCCTTTCTCAGGGTGCTCGTGATCTAACAGGCAGGCGGAAGCAGGCTGGGCACGACGAATGACAGCCCAACTGCCATGGAAATGCTGCGCGGCGACTAGTTACAGAAGCAAACTTCAATCGTTTTTTAGTGATGGGTCCTGCGGCGCGTCTATGCAAAACACTCTAAGAGGTTATACCCCACAGTTGCCACACTGACAGAGGGCTTCCTGGGAGAAGGGGAAATGGCTGAATTCAGAAGGAAATCTTGGCTAGGGGAGATTCAGAACCTCCGTCCCCAAACAATGACCACTGACTGTGAGGCGCCCTTTTCCACAGGACCCACACACCAGGGAGCACGTGCAGGAAAATATGAACCAAAAGCAGTTTGGCGAAACTAAAAAGAACAAAGGCAGTGTGTAGAAGCAATGGGGAATGCTAAGAACATGTTCAGACAGTGAGTCGTAGAAGGAACGCCGAGAGCCAGTTTGTGGAAGGCTCTAAATGACAGACTGAGGGTGGCCTAGAGGAGCTCCCAGGCTGAGCAGAATCTTCTGCTCAGGGTTCTGCCTGAGCTGGGGTGGGGGTGGGGGTCCAGGGCCTGGAAAGCAAGGAGCGAGTCCCCACCCAATGTTAGCATGCCCTGGCTGTCCCAGGCACACAGCACAGACCTAGTAGACACAAGATTTGCCAGTGTTTCAAAATTTCACAGTTTTTGAGCCCAAAATAGCCAAGGTGAGTAACTTACAAGCTTGCCCTGAAAGCTGAAAGATTTTTTTCCCCATTCAGAATAAGACAAAGTGTGGGAGAAATAGGATACATCCAGGGGGAGCCTACATTCAGTTTTATTTAAAGGGAAGTGAGTCTACTTCATATCAGAGACAGGGATTCATGTTTTGAAATATGCTGGAGCAGTGTCAGAGTTGGAGAAGCTGTTCTTAGAAAATCAAAGGGCCTGTGGCTGCCAAGTAGTCGGGCCTTAGAAATTAAAGGCAGTGCATGTTCAAATACGCCTATAGGATTCCTGGGAGATTTCAGGATCCACCCCAGGTGTTCAGGCAAAACCTAGATCATTGAATGTATTTCTCTAATGCTGACCTGAAATGCTTGTGAACAAATCTTGAATAAACCACCTACTCAAGAAAGGCATAAATTTGCTGCTTTTTATGGGTGCTGCCATCACGGCTGAGATTCTAACAAACGCACCCACTTCAAAAGCAATATAATAATAGCTTCCATGTGCCTGGCACCATGCTAAGCATTTTTCATGCCTGGCCTCATCTAATTTTTACAATAACCCGGAGAAAGTCTCTGATCCTGAGAAGAGCTTCTTGAATTTAAATGTTCTCAAAAAAGATCATTAGTGTGAGTCTGACTGAAGCTCAGAGCTGTAGAGCAACTTGCCATGATCACACAGCTATCATGTGGCAGAGCATGGCTTTCTGCTTGCAAACCCAACACTCCTGACCTGGGCCTGCACTCACCTGTGGCCAAGCACTTGCTGGCATCACCCGTCTGTGTGGCCCGGATGCGGTAGGGAGAGAGCGGGATGGCGTCCCCCCCGTAGGTGACCCCAATCATGTAGCGTCCGGTCTTGTCGGGGATGTAGGTGACGGCATATGTGCCATCTTTATTGTCGTGGACAATGGCTCTTTTGGGTTTTCCCTCCTGGTCCTGTGGATCACACAGAGATGCTGTTTAGGATGCCACCATCAAGGTGCAGAAACCATTCTAGGGAAAACCTTGACAGTTTGCTCATTAATTAGTGCCTCTAGTGGGAGGAGACAGAATTGCTGGCCTAATACAATTTTGTTTTGGTAAGGGAAGGAGAGGGTCACAGATCCCTTTAACATTGTGGTAGACATGGTCAACTTTTAGGAATTTTTTCCTTCAAGTAAAAAAACATCCGTTGAAATGTAGGGATGGAAGGAGACAGGCTCCTGCTAATGCCCCATGAGCTCTACTATCCTTTTTTTCTTTAGTCACAGGACGCTAATTCAGATCTAGGTCCCGTGCTAGACTCGCACATCACTCCCAGAATATTATAAGACTCCACTTCCTAGCAAGCTCGGCCACTGGGGATGGCCAGGTCATGTGACCTGTGATAAAACTCAGGCAAATAAGAAAGGAGCAGAAGCTTTAGGAGGGCTTCTGACAGGGCTGCTTAAGATAGCCGACTGAGTGGGGAGGCCCCCTTTTCTCCTCTGCCTCTCTTCCTCCTTCCAGCCTGCCCCGTGATCAGACGGCCACAGCGCCAGCGGGTTCGAGCGCCGAGACCTTCAGGACAGAAGCCACACGTCAGGATGGAGTGGCTGAGGGAGGGGGGGCTGCTTCCCTGATGAGCCACGCAGCACCCAGGCGGCTGGCCTCCATGCCTCTTTGACAGGAGGGAATAACCCCACGTGTCTAAGCACCCTTCCTGTGGGCTTTACTGTGATATGCAGCACAACTTCATCTTAACTGATCTAATGAGTTACTTAAAATATCTTACAGAAAAACATAGGAACTGATGGAATCAAATACATGAGATTCACCAAATTGGTATGTGGTGCTATCCCTTCAGCCCCCTCAGGGCAAACATGGTCTCTTGTTCTCACAATTATTGATTCTCTGGTGGGAAAAAGCTGTCAAACATTTGCATCAGAAATGGGCAATTAAAATCCTTATTCTTATCCTGGCCAGGAAATTAGGTCTTATTAATAAAGTCTGACTCCAAAAAATAACTCAAGGTTACCGTTATCTGAACAGCAAGCAGGCCTTCCCCAGCATCTCTGGCATCAATCGCGAACTCCACGGGCAGACTAGCGGGCACGCCATAGGAACTGAGGCCCGGGCCACTGGCGGTCACTTTGCTGGCATCATATGTGGGAAGGACCTTGACCTTAAAGGGACTTGAGAGACACACATACATGCCCCCAGTCAGTACAGGTACACGTATCCAGCTCCGTCTGACGTCTCTTACACAGAGAGGCTGGCACTGAGGAGGAGCTTTCTACAGCAGATAAGACAATGAGTTTCGTCAAAGTGCCTTAAATCCAGCAGAAATTCACAACCATGTAACCATCACAGGACGGACTGGCTTCCCCCGAGTGCATTCCATGGGATACAAACTAATTACCACATCAGTTTGAGAAACACGGGCTGAACGTGCTTAACCCCACTTCACCAAAATGGGAAGAGAATATTGGAACTTCAGTTTTAATATTTTATCTCATTCTCTTACTCTCTATTTTTAGTATGCTTTAGACGGTGAATTACCTATTAGTAAAGTGATACATAAAATATAACTTATAGATTATATATTTTATATGACTAGAGCTATATGTACATCTTTATGTAAAATGTGTATATTAGGAGTATGGGTGAAACCTTTTAATTTTAAGGCTATGATAAAAAAGCTTTGGAGGCCGTTCTGAGAAGTGTAGAGCATAAGCAACATTTCTGTATTACATGAATGAGGAACAAGGTTTCCACCCAACGCCTTCTGAGCATACTGTTGTCAACCTCGTCTTCAGGTAAAAATCTCTGTCCTAACCAGAAAACAACTTGCAGGGTCACCACAAAGACTTTGACAAATGAATGCATCCCCTATTTCTTTAAAGATTCCCAACCTTGTAATTTCAACTCATTTTTAAGTTAAAGAAGGTTGAATGGAACAAAGGCACGGGGCAGGGAGGGGAGGAATGCCAAGAACAGGCGCCACAGACATCAAGGTCAGTGAGTTTTAACACCTGTGCCAGCACGCAGGTTCTCAGTGACAATTGCTGATGGGGTGGATGGGTGGATGGATGGGAGGATGGATGGGTTGATGGATAAAATGAATTTATGAGTGGGCCACCAGAGCAGTGGGGGCCAATCCTACAAAGGGGTGGGCTTGAGGCTAGTCGGGACTGCTTTGTAAGCATCAGGAGCTTACCTACGAGGGATCTCTTCATCAGCGTATTTAACAGAGATCATGTAAGGCCCCTCCTGGGATGGGGTGTAGGTCACCGTGTGTGTGCCATCCCCATTGTCCACTACGTTCACTGGCTCCACCAGGCCTGAGAACAGAAAGGAGAGGTCTGAGGAACTGCAGGGCCTTTCCTCCCCGCCACCCTGGGCTGCGTTTGAAGCGGGATCACGTTCATCACCAATTGCTTTTCACTGATAAGTAACACAAAGGCAAGCAGGCCATAATCAGAGGCCTAAGAAATCACAGGAGACGGGGTCCTCCGTTCACGGTTGCAGAAATGACTCTAAGAGACACTGTTAGCTTTCTGTTGGCTATAGTACTGTCAGTCAGCCCTAGAGCTTAATTAAGGAGACTGCCCATGCTTGCTGCTGGAGGGCGTATGGTGAAGATGCAGGCTGTGGACATGCTATACCCTTTCCAGCTGGTTAGGCATGCTGGAGATGTGGCAATTTTATTCTACAGATGAGAAAGGGCCAAAGAGTCCAGAACTCTGAACAGCAAAAATTCATCAATGAGCTGGCCAGTCAAGAGTTGTGGCCACCTTTGAGCAAAGACCAATAAAGTACCAGCAGGCTGGGGTGCAGGTGCAGGCAGGAGAGGTGCCAATCTCATGGGGCAAGGGGGACCCTCAGTGTGATGGTTAGATTATGTTAAAGCACAATCAAGGCATGCATGGGGTTGGCTCACTCCAGGTTCCAGTCGTGGACTAGAGTGTCAAGGATGGATCAATTGCGGAGTTAGGTCACAGTGTGACATGCTCATTAAGCAGCAGACAAGGTGGGCATAAAGCAATTTCAGAGGTGAGGCCAGCAAGACGATTCGGGTTACAGAAACCACAGCAGCAGCCAATAGGAAAATGCAAACCTGTCTCCATAAAGTCACCCTTCGGGTCACCTTTAAAGAACTCTGAAATGGCTTTCAAGGGGCTGTGCCATGACTGGGAATCCATCTCATCAGCTAAAATTAAAAGGCTGTTACTTCACAGTGCGCCATAGGAAAGGTAGCTGTCTAAGGCTGTTTTAGTCTCTCTCTCTCTCTCTCTTTCTCTCTCTCTCTCTCCCTCTCTGTGTCTCTCTCTCTCTCTCTCTCACACACACACACACACACACACACAGAGGTCTTGAAGCTCACTAACTCTGTAGAATCAGATTCCAACCCCATGACCTCATTTCCCCCAAACCACTTCTGCTCTGAGCCTCAAAGAACATTAACTTCCTGCTGAACCCCATTAAGGAGAAAGTTCCTCTTCAAAGAAGGAAGCCCCCATTTACTACTTCTGTGAAACCAAGAACACATCACTGGGGAAAAAGTCCAAATAATTAAAGAAATTTGGCAGAGAATGGCACATTTTAAATGGCTGAAGAGGAAATGTGACTGCCTACCAAAAAAGGTAAATTTCAGTGCACTTCAGGGGCTTTGTCCCAAAATGGTCTGCCGGTTTTACCAAACTCCAATTCCCGGCTGCCAACAGGGCAGGCCAAATTGTAAACAAAGCCCATTCCCCAAGAGACCCTCTGTATCCAGGAAGTTGGCACACTGACAGAGTCCTATGTCATGTGAACCAAGTATCTGTCACTTCCAGAAATCCTGAGCATGTTCCGCGTTGAGCACCAAAGCATCTTGCAGGGTTACCATCTCTAGCCACCCCCACATCCAGACCAACCCACGTTCACCCCAGAAACAATGGAACATGTCATGAAGCAGTTGTAACTATCATCTGTGAGCGTTCAAAAGCTCCTTGCTTTACCTCACTACTTAAAAAGACACTTAAAGCCATACAGTAAATGGGGGTAAAGACAGATCACTAGAGAAGTAAGAGGCTTGCCTACCTTCTAAGCAAGAACTTCAACTGTTTAAGTCAGAATATGGAGCAAGGAAGTTATTTAAGAAATTTACATTCATGACCAAGCTCAAAAGCGAAGTGCCTGCTCTGGGTAGGGCGGCCCCCACTTGGGGCAGGTCAATGTCTGCAGCAAGGCAAGATGCATATTTACCTCGAGGGCCCAGAACTCTCACTTCCAAGGGGGCCAGGCCGGCCTTGCTGCTGTCCACCGTGAAGGACTGCAAGATGTGGGCACGGATGCCCGAGCTCAGCCCTGGGCCGGTGATCTTGACCTTGCTGGGGTCCACAACATCCTTCACAGGAACTCTGAAGGGGCTGCCTGGAAAAGAGGTCACGGGATTCTAAGCACAGCTCCCCTAGTGGCTGCAGATCGGCCTTGTGTGTACAGAACCGCACCACTGCTCCTGCCCGGCCCTTGACTGCACCGGCCTCAACTCCTGCCTCTCAGTGCATGCCCCTGGGTGTCCACTCCGTGCAGACATTGTGCCAGGTGCTGGGCCCAAGTAGGTGACTGCTCTCCGGGAAGCCACGTGCAGAAGGACAAGGCGAGCAAGGAACGTGATATCGTGTGGTGTTTGAGGTGTGCTGGGGCATGTGTGAGGCACTGGGGGAGCATTCAGCAGGCAATGAATCTGGTCCTCAGGAGACCAGCTATGACCCTGGAAAGCTGAGGGAGGGGCGTTCCAAGCAGAGGGCTGGGCACACCTGAAGGTGAGGGAGGAGGCAGGCTGTTGAAGGAACTGCAGGAGGACACTGAGGGGCAGCAGGGGGTGAGGACATTTGCAACCCACACCCAGTGTCTATGAACAGCTCGAAGGGCCCTGGGATCCTCTCCCTGCACCACAGTCGGCACCTTCCCATCACCAATGGCCTTCTCGGCTCCCTGGCCCTTTGGTGAAGCTTTGCTTCCTCCCTGAGTGTGAGCTGTGGTCTTCCTGCATGGCTGACTCCACAGGTGGCACGGGGCCTCTGACTCTTTGAGGGCTTCAATTTTAAAGACCAATGAAACAAAAAATATAGGGAGATCAGGATTTGCAGAGGTCTGAAGCAGAAACACAAAGGGCTGCCCACCGTGACACGGGGACCTGCCTGGGATTTCCCTTGCCAAGGGGACCACATAAGACCTCCCCAGAGGTGAGCCAGAAACAGGAGCCTGGGTGTCCCTGGCACCAGGCCTCAGGCTTCTAGGTCCATACCCAAGGGCGGCATGCCCCCTGCAGGAGTCCTTATGCACCCCAAGAAGGCAGGCAAAGCTCATGGTGTCTAACTGCCATGCAAGCTCAGGTCTCTCTGCTTTGTGCCCCAGAAAATGTACACTTTGTACAATCAGGGGTGGTATATATAATAAAGAGCACCCAAAGAACAGAGGCCTGGCTTTTTAACAACAGCTGGGTTTCAATGACATAAAATTTTTCAGCTGAATGAAATAAATGGCTGACTCTGCCAGTGAAAACACTGCCCTCCACACTGGGGTGTAGTGAAACAGAAGGGAGTTTTATTTTAGACAGAGACAGTTGAGGGTTTCAGTGCCCACAGATGATGGTAAGAGACCACCCCTGACACTAGTCTCCAAGTCAGAGCCTCCACTAGAAGTTGTCTGAACTCGGCAGGAAAGCCGCCAAGAACCAGCTCTAGGTCCAAGGTGGCAGATATCAAGCATTACTTGCCAGCCACTCTGGTTCCCTGCCCCAGGCAGACATCATCAATCAATCTCAGCAGCCTTTCATCCGGATGCACTTATCCCAGTGGACCCAGTGGTCTAATAAGCACCTATCCACCAACTGACCACAGCGGGCCCACCGGAGGAAACCAATACACCATTGCGGGTAAGCAGAACACCTTCTTAAAAATATCCCCATTAGGGGTTTATCCCAGGCCAGGAAACACTGGGCTAATATTTAACCAACCAGAATTCCCATGAAAGCAAATTGCAAGCCAGCAGGTTGCCGAGTGTTTCCCAGCAGCTTAGCTATGAAGCCAACCAACACTACAGTAAATGACTCAGCCTGGGAGAGTGAGGGGTTGGGGAGAAGCTGGCATGTGGTTTTGGGAGGTAATAGAACAGAGAGTCTGAAATACAAAGAGGTCCACATTCCATCTACACCGGATGGGAAAACTCCAAATGGGTCTCTTCCTCTTAAGTCCAGAGATGACCATTTGTCTCAAGTTCATAAGTCAGCCACAGGAGCTCCAACTCTCACCCCCTACAGCAAGAGGGATTCCAAAGTCAATTGCATCCACCAGACATTCTCAATACAGTCAAAACAGCTTTGTGGCCCTATAACCAGGAGATGCTCATTTCCACAGCTGCCTGCTTATTTTGGAGCCACCACGTCCTCTCCCCTGACACCAGCCTTCCACCGGTTCTTCAAGCTGTACGTTCCCATCCCACAGGCAGCGGGGTCACAAAACTCCAAAAAGTCTCCATTGCTCTGTATTCTGTCAGTAAGCCCTGTTCTTTCTTCGTAACATTTATCACAAGTTTTAGTCACATAAATGCTAGTCAGAAGTTCCCAGAGGGCAGGAGCTTTGACAGTCTTGTCCATGTTTGAATTCCCCTTGACTAGTGATTATGGGCATTTAAAAATCTACGATGCATGAGCTGCAAGAACAAGTCTGAGGGATGACTCATCACTTTAAGTTTTTTTTTTTTAAAGGAAACTTAAGCCTTCATAAAATTGCAGCTTAAATGAACATCCGTGGAGAATTAAGAGTTGAATGTCAATGCTTACTGATGAGTGTGGGAGAAAGAAAAAGCATGTGTGTGTGTGCACATTTGCACGTAATAAGGGGAAAAGCAAACAGGATCGGGAAAGGTCAGTGGACACCCTGGCTTTCCAGGAGTTGATCCAGAAACCTGGAAGCAGGCCCTCAGCCCATCCCCTTTCCCTCAGTCTCACCCCAGCTGATGGCCTTCGTGGTGAGATCAGCAGTGACTCACCCGAGGCCCTTCCTGCTCAGGGGTCTAAGGAGGGGGCTCTGCCTCTTTCTCACCACACCTGAGACAAGGCACAGGCTGACTCCAGAGCAACCTGGAGTCCTTGGACTTGTGTCTACACACTCATCTACCCTTCCAGATGGGTGTTGGGTGGCAACTGCCTCATTAAATAAACAGAACCAGGACCTACAGAGATTCCTTCCCCTGGAGCATCAAAGTAGAAAGGCTCTTCCCTACTTAAGTTATATATTTCTTTATTGTTTGAGTCATTTATAGCAGTTGGTTCTCAACCAGGGGTGATTTTGCCCTTCAGTGGAACTGGCAATACCTGGAGACATTTCTAGTTGTCACAAAATGGGGTGTGTGTGCTACTAAATATCATACAATACACAGGCCAGCCCCCTCCCACCCTGCCAACAAAGAACTATCCTACCAAGATGTCCACAGTGCTGAGGATGGGAAACCCAGCTGTATGGTAAGTGCATATATATATATACTATGTTGTTAAATCCAAGAGAAGTTAAGAATTTGAGTTTTTGTGTCTTAATCAGCTACCAGGGCTACCAATGGCAAACAGACAAGACAAATGTATAAGGTGAACAAGAACTAACTCCAAAATAGAGATTTTCAAACTTGTAAAGAATCAGCTTTCCTTCAAATGAAGAAATAAGGTCCTTCAACACAGGAACCACCATTTCCAGTCAAAACGGCAAACCAAAGCTTGTTTGCTACAGGTTCGACTGGTAGTTAGGATATTATTGGAGATCCAGCCAAGGAACATACTCCCTCTGCAGCTACTGCAAATATCAGACTGTTTTTCCTACTCAGAGACACCAGTGAAATCAAACCTGCTTTCGTGCAAAATGAATTAGCCTTTGGGTTCCTTTCCAGAGGCTGGCTTACCAGGGACGTGGGCTCCTCCATATGTGATGTTAACATCATAATCCCCCAGAGCAAAGGGGATGTACTCAGCACTGCAGCTGCCATCTTTGTTGTCTCTGCAGTTTATCTTCGATTCTGAGGGTCCCTCCACAGTTATGCCAAGCCCACCAATTCCTGCTCCTCTGGAAAATGTGGGGAAAAAAAGTGAAGTTGTACTAGTGGTTCAGGCTACCTTGCTCATTGCCACAATTATTCAGTATCCCACTCTCAACTATGCCATTGAGCTAAACCTACTTCCATTACTGCGATACCTCTCACACAGGGCATTTCTCAACAGTATAACATAGATAAAGATAAGCTTTGACCCCTCCTTTCTAATGCTTATCCTTCATTTGTTTTTCTTACCTAATTGCATTGGCTAGGTCTTCAAGTACAATTCAGGTAGGTGACTTGTGACCCATTATAATAGGAATACTTCTAATATTTCACTTGAATATGAGATTGGCTATCTATTTCTGTATTATCAAGTAACAGAGCTTCCATCTATTGTACTTTCAAGGGTGTAATTGTCTTTCTCTGTAACATATGTCTCGACAGAAGAAAGGGTACATATATCACACACAAAAAGATGCCTCTCGAAAGTTGGAAAACTGTAACACATATGTAGGATACACCCATAAAACTTATTTAAAGCAGTTAAACTATTCAGGACTACTCCTTTTAGAGAGTCAACACACACAGGTCCCAGGGCCTTCCTTACCTGGTAACCACAGTGAAGACGTTGGGTTTGTTGGTGAAGGCCTCCTTCAGTCCAGGTCCTTGGGCTTGAACCCGAGATGGCTGGCAGCCTTCAGTTACAGCCACTTTGAAGGGACTGTTTGGGATGGGCACATCATCGTATGTCACCTCCACTACATGGAGCCCTGTTCCAAACAACAAACAAAAACCTATTTGAACAAAAGTCACCCATCTGTGGGAAACGATACTCTACTCCAGGGCTTTCTCCAGCCTTCACATCTACCTTCTCTACCATGTAATTGAAAAGAGCAGGTTAAGAAACAGTAATATTGGTCTGACCTGATTTTTTTAAGAAAATACAAGCTGTTTTGTCATATAACCAGGAACTGCTCTAAATATCACTAAGTCTACATTCAAGTCAGTCATCTTAAACATACTTATCCGTATTTGGGAAACTCCACTAGTCATGAGCCAAAAGGCAAAGGGAAACTCATGAAACAACAGACACAGTTACAAAAAGTGATGGAAAACATCTATACCAGAATATCTATAGGGATTACATATCCAGGTAACAAGGGCATATGGTGCTTTTATCTTTTTTCTTTATGCTTTTATGATTCATCAAAACTTTTATAGTTTAAATATTCAGGAGAAAAATTAATTCTATATATAAAAAAACTGTACAAATGGGAAAAATGCCATGACATCACTCCATGACTTGCTCAGCTGAGGGAGGCGAAACCTGGCCCTTACTGTCACACAAAGGGCCAACGTGCCAGTCCCTGGCTCTGCTGGGGAGGGAGGTTTTCTCGTCACCTTGCATGTGCCTCTGCTGAGACGGGCCAGACACAGGGCAGAAGTCAGCACCCATCACCAAAGGAAATGGTCCGGCACAGCTCTGAATGAGGGCCATGTCCAAGGAGACCTCAACTCACCTTTCTCAAAGGGGGTGTACTCCACCTGGTAGGTGCCATCAGCATTGTCCGTGACAAAACATTCCGTGGAGGCGCCTGAGGGGTTGGCAATGTGGGCCTTGATGTGGTCACCCCCGACCTGTGTCAGGGGCCGGGAGTCCACAGTGAAGTCAGTGGTGGCTTCACGAAATACATCTGCAGAACAACCACACAGATCAGAATGTCACCAACATCTGGGAGCAAACTCAAGAACCAAGGTTCTCAGCACGTGAGAACACATCCAGTCTAATGTCAGTGACAGCAGACAACCGACTCTTGTGAGTTTCTAGTGCCTCCTTTTTTATGAAACCCACCTTTTCCTTCTATTCCTGGCCCAAAGACTTTGACCCTGCTGGTGTCCACGGCGGGGTCCACCTTGACCCTGGCGGGGAAGTGAGGCACAAGCTCCCCGCCATACTTCATGGTCAGCGTGTACATGCCAGCGGTCAGGGGCACGTAGGTCACTGCGTAAGTGCCATCTTTGTGGTTCTCAATACAGACTTCGGCTTTCGCTCCCAAGTCTGAGATGGCTTCCAGACCCAGGGCCCCAGGCCCCGCTTCCGAACAGTCGACGCTAAGCAGCCCAGCTTCGCCCACTTTCCCGTGGTGGAGACCCGGTCCGGATGCCACCACTTTCGAGGGGTCAAACGGCATTTCAATATCAGCTTTGAAGGGAGAGCCAGGGATGTGGACTTCTTCGAAGAGAATGTTGACCAAGTACTCCCCCGGCTTTGTGGGAAGGTAAGAGACGGAGCATGTCCCATCCCCATTGTCAGAACATTCGATTTTGGCCTCGCACGGACCTTCCACGGTTAGGCCCAAACCTCCAGTTCCAGCTCCTTTGGTGTCGATGGTGAACTCAGCAGGCTTGCCCACCAGGCCACCTTCAAGGCCAGGACCGTGGGCCTTCACCTATTTGACAAAGATTAAAAGTCAAACCCTGCCTGATGCAGGTATCGCCACTCAGCCAGCCCTGCAATCCTCACTGAACTGCATCTCAGTTCAGTGGTCCCTCTCCTGGGGGCCCGACTGGTACCTCACACTCCACTGAGTCAGAGCCACAGAGCTCTAGGCTGCTGGCTAAGAGAGGGGGAGGTGGCTGTGAAGCTGCCCAACACTGAGAGCCACAGCAGAGGTGGGGCCCTCGGAAGCATGGGGTAGAGGTGGCGGCCTCGCATCCTGTTAACAAACACACGAATGTTCCTTGGCACCCAGGGAATGGCGTCCTGGACCCCACTGTCGCTCTGGCTGCTACATCTCCCTCAACAAATCCCTCATACTAAAAAACTGAAATACAACGGGGAATACATGTCATTGCACATCCATTGAAACCCACAGAACGTATCTATGTCTACATAGTGAACCCTGACGTACACTCAACTCTGGGTGATAATGATGCCAGTGTAGCTCAATCACTTATAACAAAGGTACTGCTCTGCGCAGGCATTGTCATAATGGAGAAGCTCTAGCATGTGGGGGCTCAGGGTCTGTGGCATATCTCTACCTTCCTGTCAATTTTACTGTGAACCTAATATGGCTCTAAAAAATAAAGTCCAATAAAAAAATTAACAAATAAACAAAAAAACTGAACTGTTTTTAAAAGAGGGAGGGAATGAGGCTTTTATCTCTGATTCAACATAAGAGTTTTATAGGCTCCATGTCATTCAGGTCACAGGAAATATTCTGGGCTGCTAGGAAGACATGATAATGAGAATAGTATGCTTTCGTATTACATTATGGCAACTTCTGGTGGGCGAACTCACTCTGTGCGGACACTGGGCTGAGGCCTCCACGTTCACTATCTTACCTCACCCTTCCAGGCCAGCTTTGAAGCGAGAATCATATTACGCTAACAAATGAAGGAATAGAATTCGGGGACAGGACATGTCCCACCAAAGCCTCCCAGGCGGGGAGGGGAGCGGGGGAAAGGGCGGGAGCCGCCTGCCCAGGGAACTTCAGGCTGAATGTAGAAGAGAACCACTCTCGGCCACCGCGTACTGACTTTCCCCACACAGTTATGTTCTAAAGTCTTTGCCAGGCGGGATCGGGACTGTGGTGTCATACTTGACAACAGGGGACAAGTTCTGGTATGAAAACAAAAGCTGACCTTGGTGGGATCTGGCGGCAGCGAGGCCTCCATGGTGTAGGGGCACCCAGGCACGGGGTGCCCGTCGTAGGTCATGTCAATGGCGTAGAGCCCTTCCTCTCGGGGAATGAACTTGGCCGTGTTGCTCTCCTGGCCCACCACAGGCGCCACTAGGCATGGCACGACCTTCCTCGAGGGGCTCAAGACGGTCACGTCCAGCTTCCCCTGGCCCCCTGCCCCCCTGGTGTCAATGGTGAACTCCTGATCCTTCCCGACTTCGACTCCTGGGAAAGGAAACAAGCTGAGGTGAGGAGCTGACCCTGTTTGGCTGCAAGAACTGAGAGCAAACATGGTCTCTGGAGAGGGGAGTTGTCACTTCATACTCCAGGCATGAGTAGAGCACATCATGTCTTTTAACTTCCACCACAACCCTAGTGGGTATTAACTAGTAACCAGGCTCTAACAGATGGGAAAGTCGAGGCTCAGAGAGGTTAAGTCACATGTATGGGACCCCAAGGCTGGGACTCAAACCTAAATTTACTTGACCACAGAATCTTCTCTGCTGACCCGTCAGTTACAATCTGACATTTTCTTCTCTCCTTTAAGTACTTCTGGGGTTAACTTTATACGAAAACATTCTCATTAGCCAGTGTTTTATTTACTAATTCTTGGCAGCAAATTTAATCCTACAGCCAAGAAGGAAAAAGTAAAAGCCAGCCCATGCAGGGCACTGCAGCAAATCCTGGAAACTGACTCTCTGGGCTGTGTTGTTATTTGAAAGGTCTTTGCAAAGCCAGGGCCACAGAAAACTCACATGTTGTACTTGATAAAAGCAGGGAAAGGACCTGAACTCAAACAAATGTGCTGGGAGCACAGGGCCCCACCACAACCCTGCAAAATCCTGACTCGAGGGTAACACAGGGCCTGCCAAGACGAGCGCTACTGAGCTACGGCAGGCGGCCTCTGAGTGCCACGTCCCAAAGGCTTCTCCTAATTGGTGTCATGCGTCTCCTAGTCTGGGGCTGATACCCTCGGAGCCGTGGAGAAAGGAGGGATGAGGGGCCATATGAAAGGGCTGGGCAGTGAAGTCTCCCTAGTAAAACAAACTGCAAAATTTAAAATGAATGACATGTACTTATACTATTAAGGGCACATGCAGAGTGGGCTGCACCCCAGGGACAAAAGCTGCACCCAGCCCTTGATACAGAGTCCTGGAGCTGGGAGCTGTCCTTCACAACGCAGTGGGAGCCCCGCCTGATCCTGAGACCAGGGGAATGCGTGCCTCTGAAGTGCAGCCACTCGGCAGCCAGTGCCACCGAGCGGACGCAGGCGTGAATGTTCTCCACGACGCACTGCAGATGTAAAAAAGGCAGGCTGAAGACTTCTGGGCATAGAAGGGTAACTTCATGCAAAATAAACTTTGCCCAGTGTGTTCTGATGATCCCTAGGTGCGAATGGACGCAGAGAAGATAGAAACTGAACCATTAACTTTGGTTAATCCTAGGAAGGTGGGGAGGTGATATATTTTAAGTGGAATTTACTCTTAATGGTGATGTTCTCTAAATGAAAAATGGGCTTATGCATGACTTTCATTGAGTAACTTTATGACCATGTGTTGAAGTTCTGACACTGCATGATGAGTACATCAGTGCTCATATTACACTGTTCTCTTTACTTTTGTATATTTGAAATTCCCCCTAGTAAAACAAACTGCAAAAACTGCAAAATTTAAAATAAATGGCATGCGTTTATACTATTAAGATAGCTAACAAGCTAAAGGAAAACTAGGATGGAGCTGGGGACCGTAGTATGGTTTCTGCACGCCAGGGAGGTGACTTTCATGCTTAACTTCATGTCAACACCAGCATGGACTCAGTGGCAGAAGCAGCAGGTATAGCAGAAACTCACCGGAAAGCGATGTGCCCTGACCTCTCTTTGTAAATAAATAAAACAGCCCAGTGCCATGCCAGCAGTTACGGAAGGCTCACCCGTGCCAGCCCCTGAATTAATTGATTCATTTTCTTAATATTCCGGTGGGTGTAAGTGTCCTTGACCTCCCCCAACCCAACTGTACAAGTGAGGAGACTGAGGCCTGGTGATGGCAAGTACAAAACTTACTGTTTTCCAGCCCATTAATTCTTATCTTGCTCAAGTCCAGCGGAGCAGCGACACCCACAGTGAAAGGGCTTTTAGGGATGGGATCGCCACCGTAGGTAACCAGGACCTGCACGCTGCCCTGGAACGAGAGGAATCATGGAGCCTGTGGGCACCAGCATGCTGACCTGGTATTTACACCCCTTCGGGGTCTTTGGCTCTTCCCAGAGAGACAGGGCCCTTGATTCCAATGGATGTAGAAAGTACCTCAGACGTATTTCTCTAAGCTTCCAGCCCATGGCGAGAATGATGGTTCCCCCTGTCATCCCCATTTCTCCAGGACAAGACACCATGGCTCAGGGAGGTAAGGTCACTTGCTCAAGTCACATGCCTGGTGAGTACTGGGCTGGGCCTGGCCTGCAGCACTAGGGCCGTGTCCCTGCTGCTCCCCTACCACCTCCCCAGCACACACCCTGCCCGGCCAGGGGCAGAGCAGCTGGGTCTGGGGGCCGCTAACCAAACAAAACCATTTTTCCCTCTGACTTGGGAATCAATTTTAGGCCACCAAGCTGAGCAAGGGATTTGCAAGGGTTCACCCAGAACTGTTCTAAGACCCCCGCATAGCACAAGGTCTGACTTCCCCTATCCAGGTCAAGAGAAGAGAAGCTGCAGGTGTGAAGGTGGACTGCGCCTGTGGGTTTGCCAGGCCTCCCTCCAGCACCCTGGAGGTCACAGAGGCGTGGCACGGCCCCTTGTGCCCCAGGTATCCTGGCCCGCATTCTGCTGGCTTCCTCTCTCCGTGGTCAGCTAGCGGAATCGTCCCCCCAGACCAAGGCCCCATGAATGCCCACACTGGCTCAGAAGACTAATACCCCCCCACCTCAAACACCCGGAATAATGTGAGAGGACACAGGAGGGAAAGAAGCACAGAGGCCATGTGATGCCCCCAGAACCTGACGGGCTCGCTGGAACTCAGACCTGCAGAATGCTACTGCTGATCAAGTGTAAAAAGGGTGTAGCTTTTGGCCTATGAATGTTTTCTCACGGTCCTTTTGTCATGAAGAAGGGGAAAAGCCAAGAAAAAAATTGGTTGCATCAACGAAGTTGGGAGGATTGATGTTCCAGGATTCATCAGTGCTGCACCCAAAACCAACTGGCGCCCAGCCTGAAGGGTGTAACATTTCATGGTAAGATGCACATGGGGCAGATTCACCAGAGCTGAGGACCAGCCCAGGGACAGAAAGGTCTCCACCTCGTAATGACTAAGGCAGGGGGCCATTTGCTGTCTCAGCCACCGCAGCATTCCCGATCCCGACGGGCTGGCTCTGCCCGAGCCTCAATGTGCCCCCAAGCCCCTAACTCCTCGAGGGCTAGGCCTCACAGCGAAGCACGGGTCATGGAAAAACCGTCTCTGCCACCCGCTGTAAGTCTTGTAAGGGAAAAATCCTTCCTCATTTAAGGCCACCCATTCCATCACAGAAAGTGTGATCTCATTACCAGTCATAAAAAACAAAACAAAACTCAGACAGGAAATGAACTGTGCCTCACATAACCTAACAAGGGGGAAGAAGAATCTTGAGATCTGCACCTGCAATGGCCTGTTAAGTTTTAAGGTTCCCTCTAAGGCCTTGGAGTCAGAAACAGGAATGTCTGAACAGTGACCACTGGAGCATTTCAGAGGCCCCCCTGATTCTCTCCCCTACGGGCCTCTGAAACCTTAATCTTATTCTGCAAAATATACATACGTAAGACCCTGACCCGAAAGCTCAGGAGCCCCCTTGTCCACTCTCAGCCCCCTTGTCCAGAGACCTCTGTGCCAACCAGCAGTAATGACATTCTGAGGTGGGGGCTGTTACCCTGGGAGGCTCGGCGAGCTCACGGGGTTTCCTAAAGGCACCCACAGTATACATGGAGTTTCTGATTCCCAAGGTTCCTGACCCAGCTTGGAGTTGCTGCCATTCTCTTCAGGGAAGTTTGTGAACAAAAGCACAGGAGGCCAAAGCCTCAGGGGAAACTGGCGTTGCCTAATTTCCTTTGTATAACATCAAGCCTTTGTCTGACCTTCGGGAGGGTTCTCAAGCTCCAGTCCAACAAGCCACACTCCAGCAAAGCAGAGAGAGCTGTGACCATGGAGCTCCCGCAGGAGCCGACAGGATGGGCCAGCAACACCCGGCACTGGTCCACTGCAGGCAGATGGGTGCCTCCCAGGTGTTGCTCAGGACCCTGCAGGGGCATCGGCCACAGGGGCCAGAGAGCCACGAGGCGGGCAGCCCCTGCCACGGCCTGGTCTGCTGGCTCACCCTGCACCAGGACCCATTCCTGTCTCTCCACACACACCAAGTACTTGCCTTTCTGGAAAATTCCAGCCCATCATTTCCTAAAACCATTATGAGAAGCTGTGCCGTGGGCATCAGCCCTCAAGGTACGCGCTCTGCCTGTGTGTTGGGCAAGACTTTCTGGGCTGACCCAGACCTCTTGGCTACATCCAGGAGCAGAGGCCCAAAGACACGCTTATGTGACCCCAGGGTGAGCTGTCAGCTGCTCCTCAGAAAAGGGAGATCAAAGGAGAACGAGGGTGTGGGGGCCCCACTCTCCCACCGGATCACAAAGTTCCCAGGTCATCACTGCTTGTAGGTTAAGGCTCTCGCTTGTATACCCCTCATTCAGCCATAAATCCATACAGAGCACCTTCAGCATCAGGCCCTGGGCTCAGGGCCAGGGCTGGGGTGATATATATACACACACAACATGATGGCCCTTCCTTGGGGAACTCACAATTGAAGAGAAGAGAGTTCATCTGTTTTGCCGTAGAGAAAAATGCAGAATTGTAAGTTGCCCAAATAATGAAACAGTAAACTGGTCTAAACAACAAATAAGGACTGCAGAGGCGTCGTGTGAGTCACTCGCACCAGAGGCGGGGACTGACACCAAGACCCTGCCAGGCTCCTTCAGACAAACAACCCCAAGTGGCCCTGGGCATGCGGACAGCCCTCAAGCCTGCTGCTATCAGGAAACTGGATGAACTTGACCTTGGGATGGCTCTGAAGTAAGGAGCCTCCCACTTCAGCTTCACTTCAAATACGATGAAACAGGACCTGGGCTCCTGACCTCACCTCTGCCCCGACTGGTAGGTGGGGGCGTCCACAGCAACGGGTTCTGAAGTGCTTTCTAGGGGTGCAGGTCAAAACCTGATCCTTTCTTAGTGTCTGCAACTTAGCTCCTTGCAGCTCAGCCAAAAAGCAAAAAGGTATATAGACATGGGATAAAGCAATCTCAAAATGTTTTTAGCAGTCTGTGACCTCGTGATCTTGACCAGGGTGCATGACTGTGTTTTCTGTTACTTTCCAAGGAACGCAGACAATTGGCAACAAAGGTGACGTCAAGTCGGTGCTCCCAGCAGTAAGGCTCCCATCAGCTCTCAGAAATAATTACCTGCATAGCACTAAGTGGCCCCATAAGGAAAGGGTGTTCTGTCTTTGAAAGTATTCATTTTACCAAATAATAAATGGTAAAACCATTCATCATGCCACATTATTGAACACACACACACACCCTGGAAGAAGGACATCTGGAGAGAGGAGGCCACGTGAGTAGTTTGGCCCCAGAGCTCCCCTCCCACTGCCAGGGAAGTTCCTCACAGCAAAGATTCCATCTCCAGGACGTGTAGCACCTGTGCAAGGGGACCCGTTCACCACCTCATCCTTCCCCACCAGCCACTGGCCAGCTCCTCACGGAGGGGCCAGGCAGGAGGGATGATTCTCAGGCAGGGTTTCTAAGAAAGCAGCACCCTTCTTCCCCTACAAACGGCATCTCACACGGGGGGACGGGCTCCTGTCCTCAAGAACGCAGGCACATCAGAGGTTGGGAACGACTGTTTAGAACACAATGGGTAAGTAGTAAAATTCCGGCTTTTCTGCTGGGTTACCTGCTCCTCAGACTCTAGAGATGTTGAACATGAAGCCAAACAAAATTGTAATCAAATAAACATCAATTCATACCCAGAGGTGGTTTCTTAAGGCCTCATTACCTAAAATAATCAAGCTAAGCAACCTGGATGGCAAGAAACTGTCCATATTCCCGCATTTTGTAAAAGGGGACAATCTGGGGTCCTAAATAGTTATCCTGGGCCTGAGGGCCTAAGGGCTGACCTGGCTCTTTGAGAAAAATCCCGCCACAAAAGCCTGTAAAAAGGGTAAATTAAACTAAAAGGGCAATAAGGAACAACAAAGGTGTGGCTGTTCTTGATGGATGAGTAATTAATAAGAGACCAAAACGAGCTGGTAAGGATGAGAGTGGGGGTGTTAGGAGAGGAAAACATTAGGCCCAGCATTCCAAGCGTTCAGTGCTTCTCTGCTGAACCCCAAATGGAGTGGGAGACTGGGGTGGGCAGCCATGAGCTGGCTCTCTGCGAGTTCTTGAGAACCCCCCAGGCCCTCCGGACAGGAGAGCCCGAATGAGAAGAGCCAAGTCACCCCCAATGGGGGCACCTGAGCAGAGCACGGATCAGCCCCTGGGGTCCCACGTGGCCCAGCGTGGCCGGAGCACAGGCGCCGGCAAGGGCCCTACCTGCTGAGTGGGCGTGTACTTCACGGTGTGGGAGTAGTCATAGTTATCGATGACATCCAGATCCTTCACGGCGTCGCCGGGAACGGGGCCGCTGAACCGCACGTCCAGTGGGGCTTTTCCGGCCCCTTTGGTGTAGACAGTGAAGTGGGTCGGTTTCCCGTTTTCCACGCCTGGAAGGATACATCGTGAAGTGAGGGAACAGGCCTGGCTGGAGTGGTTTCACTTTGAGAACCGGTCTGATGGGTTCACCAGAAGTAGCTCTAGCAAGGCTGTCAGGGCTGTGGCTGGCATCCAGCCACTGCCTGCAGCTCGGGCAGGAGCCACTACCCACAGCTCCCTCTTTGCTGCATCCCCGAACCAAAGCTGCTTGGTGGAGAGAAGTCCCGCCAGGCTGCAGACCAAACGTGCCCACTGCCGGCCTGCACCAGGCCTCCAATGGCCTCGCACACACGCATCTTACCTGCTTTGCTGAGCCCTGGGCCTTCTGCCTTCACTTTACTGGCATCATGGGAAGGGTCAACTTTGACTCTGAAAGGGCTGGCAGGGATTTCCTGTAGAGGAGACACTTTCTCAGTAGGAAAGCCCCCAAAGGAACTGCCAGAGCTCAGCCTTCTGCCCAGCACAGAGGGGAGGCCTCCGACGGCGCTGACTCCAGCGTGTGGTGAACCATGCCCGTGGCCACAGGTCAGGTTTTCATACTCTAGCATCAGGTGAGAGTCATCACTTGCCACCTATGAATGCCTGGAGTCCCTACATCACAGGCTTTGACCTGCTGTCTGCACAGCTAAAGGAACGTTTCCCACAAACAAATCTTTAACACCAAATGTTGAGTACTTAGGATGCAAAAAATACTGCCAAGAATAAAACGACAATAATATATGGAGTAAGGGGGTAGGAGATGTCCTCCAGGGACAGAGAGCTCAGTTTGGGGAATGCAAGAAATTGATCAAAAATACAATGACGGTAATTCTTCAAAAAGAAGGTCACAGACTGTCAGAATAAAGGCAGAATAGGTTAACTGGATAACTCAACACAAGCCCAACACCTTTAGGCACAGAACTGTCTCCTGAGGTTCCTGTCTTTAGGTAAGGCTAACTTGAAAACCAGTATCAGATCATTCTGTCTCAGGTACCATTTGTCCTGTTTTCACTATCACATGTAAATATGGACTCTATCTGAAACTTCAAAACTCCGCTTCCTGTAAAAGTTTAAGGGTTGAGGCCATGGTCATTGCATCAAAGAGGTCTAAGTAGAACACGCCCAGACATTAATTACCTTTCAATCAAAAACGTGACAAAAGTTTATAACAAACCCATCTCTTTCCAGAGCTCTGCTTGAGCACCGAATGCCTCACTGTGCCTCCCTTTTGTTAAAAAGTGGTCAACATTTAGTGCTGGCTGGATTTTTTTCCTTCTTGGTTTTAAGGAACCAGAGTGGGAAACCATGGAGCAGAGCTCTTCAGACATTTTCCCTGTTGCTCAAAACATAGAAAAAGAAAAGAAAATCTACACACAGGTGGCCAGAATGAACCCAGGCCGAAACACACACCTGAGATGCAAACAGAACCTTGATTGTGTATCGCCCAGCGGCAGGAGGCACATATTTGACCGTGAACGTGTCGTTGGCATTGTGAATGATGTCAAAATCCACGTCTTCCTCATCCTCACTTAACACCCGGGCATCACATTTAATGCCCACGCTGACATCACCTGGAAGAGACCAGCTTGTGAGTACCAGTCCACAAGCAGCAGCATGCCCCACACAAGCACTTCCAGCTCAGGTTAATTTAACACCCCAACAAAGCACCTGGCAAGATTCCAGTAAGAAACCCGAGAGAGGGAGGGTGGTAAGTCAGGGTCTGGAGAAGGGATGAAGGATGCGCGAGGACATCAAGGCACTGACACAGAGACTCACAAGACGCACGATTACCTGATCAGGTGGACTATTCCCTGCTTCAAAGTTCACTGCCCTTGAAACATTCTGAAAAGAACCTTCCTCCCCAAGGAGCAACCAACCATCACTGCACTGGGTGAAGCCCGCTCACCTTCCCCGGCCTCAGTACAGTCCACCGTGAAGTGAGTGGGCTCATTTGCCTTGAGTCCGCTCTTCTCCACGCCTGGCCCAAACACTTTGACCTTCTGGGGATGGCTACCCTGTCCGATGTTGACCTAGAGAGGGCATGGAGACAGCTGTCATCAGGGTCTCCCCGACTTGGACCCATAAAACACTGAGTCGACATCATTATAAAGTTCTTTGGGGGAATCCCGAGCATGCTGCCCTTCAAACCACTTGACTTCTCTGGGCCCATGAGGGTGGGCTCTTTCCACTCCAAGACTGGGCTTCTGCGCAGGCCAGGATTCTGCCTCACGACCTACCCTGTAGGGGCTGTGTGGGATGTTCACACCTCCCCAGACCACGGCAATGGTATGCTTGATGGCCTTCACCGGCGTGTACGAGCAGGAGTACGTGCCGTCCATCCGGCTCTTCGTCTGGATGTCAATGGGCTGGCCTTCCCCGTCCTGGAGAAGAGCAGGCACTGAGAGGAGGCCTGGCCCTCACACTGTCTCCATCAAATGGGGCCGCAGTGGCCTCTGAAGACAACCAGGTCACCACTTGCCCATCCAACTTAACCTCACCAAGCAACCACGACCCGTCGTATTTCCACAGCACAATGACCACGGGGTGTGGAAGACCACTTGCATTTATTTATTTTTACATATTAAGAGCAAATGGCCCAAAAAGAAAGCCATGGCCACTCACTGCTTCTTAATTTTAATTCCTTATTTAAATCCTGGGGCCAAGTTCAATTAAATTAGATAAATATATTTAATAAATCCTTGTTTACAAACCTTCCATCACAGCCAAGGCAGGCTTGGCCACCGTGATGGACGTGTACAGGGAAATCTGAAACACTCAAGCATCCACAGAATATACATCATAAAGATGAGGAGGAAAGCACCCTGCTTTGCATATCAGAATTTCATTTAACTCTCACATAATCCCATGAGCTAAATATTCTTATTATTCCCAATGGATGAATGAGGAAACTGAGGATCAGATGGATTGAGCGACTGGCCATCAAATTGATGGATCCTGTCACCTGCCAATTACCTGCGCAGGTGGCCCCTGGACACTTACCTGAGCGAATATCTTTAAGGGAGCTTTTCCAGCATCCTTAGGGTCCACGGTGAACTCAGCTAGGTTGTTGACAATGCACCCAGATTTCTCCAAACCTGGCCCATATGCTTGGACCTGGGGCAGAGGGACAATCATGATTCTCCTTCTGCGTAACGTCCTCACTAAAACCCAGTATCAAGACCCGAGACTGGGAATAGAGAAAGAATGAGATAATGTGTCTAACTTTTTACAGAACCTACATAACAGGATGGTTATGGAAAGGAAAATGCTAAAGCAGGCAGTAACTTAAAAATAAAAAAACAGTATCATTAACCTCTCAGGAAGAACAAAACTCTAAAACCAGGCCCGAATGAGCCTGGGGCTCCTCCCTTATTCTGAGCTGACATCGAGGACTTCCAGTAACCAGGGCAGGGAACTCCAGCCATGTCCAGCTTCAATGTTCTCACTTTAAGGGGACTCAGAACCTTTACCACTGACATTCCAGATGTCTGCAGCCCCAAGAGAACAAAGGACCAGCACTTGGCCAGGAGGCTGGACTGACGTCAGCCTATGGGCAGACGGCCGCATGAGCCAGCAGCAGCACACATGGGTGTGGGGCCTCCTCCTATGTGCCAGGTTGTCTCAGACTTGATGCCTATCAGCCTGCTAAGGGTTTGAGAGAAACTCCTGGAAACACTGCAAATGCTGTTCCAATTTAAGAGAAGGCCACTTTATCTGTGGAGTACCTTGAAATAATAACTACAGAAAGTGACACCATCAATAGGATGCCCTGCATTGCAAGCAAATAGCAGCTAATGGAGCCCCCTGCTTGGGCCAGACCAAGGGCTGTCCTTATGCATGTTGCCTCGTGGAATCATCCCAGGTGCTCCAGGAAGCTACTGTCATTCCATTTCATGGAGGAAATCATCTGGAGTCAGAGGGCTGTTACCTGCCCAACATTAGAAAAGTACCGATACTACCAGGATTCTAACTCACACCAGTCTTTCCTAAGCTCTAAGTGGCTCCCCCTCTGCCGCCTCTCAACATGCAGCTAAAGTCAACTCTCCGGGCACCGTGCAGAGTGCGGGGGAAGCAGGGAAGGAGGACAGAAACACGACAAGGTGATTCACCAGGTCCGGGTTGCAGTCTCCGGAGGCCGGGTGGATGAAGGCCATGTATGGGCTGTCCTTGATGTCTTCGTCGTCACACATGATGTGAACGGCATACTCGCCGGGCTCCCTGGGCCAGTACTTGACGTCACAGGAGCCATCATTCTGGTCATCGTACTCTATCTTCGCCTGGGAGGGGCCTTCAATGGCAAACCCTGGGGGCAGGAGGAAAGGGGACCCGCTCACATGGTGCACAGGGGCAAACCCTGGGGGCAGGACGGAAGGGGACCCGCTCACACTTTGCACAGGGGCAAACCCTGGGGGCAGGAGGGAAGGGGACCCGCTCACACGGTGCACGGGGGCAAACCCTGGGGGCAGGAGGGAAGGGGACCCGCTCACACTGTGCACAGGGGTAAACCCTGGGGGCAGGAGGGAAGGGGACCCCCTCACACGGTGCACAGGACCCATTCAGGTTACTCTCAACCCACCCCTCGGCTCCCTAAAGGCCAAGTATCGGACAGAAGATTGAAATCTGCATCTGTCCCTCCCATAAAAGCAGCCCATCGAGTCCTCGCCAGAAACGGAGGGGCTGGATTTTCTATATATTTTGCTGTAGTTTTTGTTTTGTTTTTATATCATCTAATAGGGAAGGTCAAACAGCAAATCCTTCTGTGGGTAATATGGTAATGTGTGCCAAAAGCTTAAACCCACACCCATTCTTTGCCTACCAAATCCACTTCTGGGCTTTTATCTGAAGGAAATAACCAAGGATATGGATGAACAGTTGGAGACAAGGATATGTATTCAGCTTTGTTTTGATAGCAAAACTCTGGGAATAACTGGAGGGCCTGACAGTAGATACATCCATACAATAGAACTCCAAGGGAGCGATGGAAAGATATACCCTGTATTTACTTGAAAAAGATATAAGGATTCCCCCTAGACATTTTTTTGTGGCAGATTAGTGTTTGTATGTGTATGTACAGAAAACAAAGTCTGGAGAGATCTGTTCGTCAAAGGAAATATTAAATGTGAATCCCTATTTTTCCCTTTTTACATGCTATCACAGATGTCATCAGACTACGGCCAGTGAATCAAATCTGACCCAACACCTGTTTTTATTTCATAAATAAGGTTTTATTAGAACATGGCCATGCTTGTTTGCCGATCTATGGCCCACGGCTCTTCACGCTACAACAGCAGAATCAGATAGTTGTGGGAGGGAGAATATGACCCACGATAGTAAAATGTTTGCTATCTGGTCCTTTATTGAGAAAATTTGCTGACCACTTATCTAAAATAATCATACATACACCAGATGCGTATTTAGAATATACGTACTCTGTTATGCTCTGAAGAGTATTTACTTCCCAAATTTCTATTGTCAGCAAAATTCATTCATTCATCTAAACTAAGGTTCAGTCAACAGTATTTGCTGAATGCCTACTATGTTCTAGGAGCTGCTTCAGGAACAGCATACACAGAAGGCCTCCACCCTTGAGGTCTAACAGATGAAGGAATGATGGGCAGAAGGAAAATGGGAATGGCCATCCCACAGCAGTAGACAGAGGCAGCCTTGGGCGCTCAGGAGGTTAAGGGCAGTGATGGTCAGGAGGAGGCCCCGGCCCCTGGCCTGACACCAAACACAAGCCCCCGAAATCTCAGCCCTCCAGAGCAGCTGGTCAGCAGCCTCCGCTTACCCAGAGACCCCACTTCAGAGTCAACAGACTCCACCACGAAGTCCGCCGACCGCCCAACAATCCCTCCCAGGAGGCCGGGGCCCCATGCGCGGACTTTCTGCATGCCTGCCTCTGGGCCAACTTGAACCTCAAAGGGGCTAGAAGAAAAGGAACAGAAAAAGCATTAAAGAAGAGCAAAGAAGGAGCTAAATGCAGCCACAAGCTGTTGATACATATTCTTTCCACTGACTTTTAGCTGGAGTCCCAATCTCTCGCCAAGCCCTTCCTCCACATGGCACCCCCCACAGCCATTGTTACGTAAACAGTATACGAAGGTACCTGCTTCCAGATGCTCAGGTGGCCAATGACGTTGCACTCAAGCTATCCTGTTTTGCACTGTCCCTCTGGTCATTTACCTTTTGTGTGCAGTGCTCACTTCTGGAAGCTAGCAAATATGTATTTTTCCATACCCTGCTTATGCTATACCAAGAAAACTAGGCTGAACAGGCTTTATCCCATACATGAATTAATATGCTTTAACTTTGCTACAGGAGATTTGAGGTTTGCCTAGATTCTCAGAACCCTGTAACACTCAGGTATTTCTCAAGGTAAACTGAATGTCTTCAGAATTTAAAGTGGCCCCCAGGAGAGCTAGAAACATGAACACAGGGCAAGAAACTGCGACACCCATTAGGCAAAGCTGCAGACCCCTTGGACCCCGACTGCACTCACGTCGACGGTTATAAGGTAAAACCACAGCAGACTCTACCCCCATGGCACTCCTGAACAGAGGCGCACAGTGAAGGAAGGAGAATCTCAGTCTACATAAGGGCACACAGGCACACAGCCCACTTGCTCTCCAGTACCGCTGCTTCTGGCTCCCCTGCCTCCCACCAGCCCCAAACCGCCAGGATTTGATTTAAAGCAAGGCGGCCGAAACCACAGCTACTTTCTGCTGCTTTTGAGAATAGGCCAAATGTCTGTGTGCTGCTCTGAAAAGAAAAAAAAGAGGTTTCAACAAAGCAGATTTCTTTCCCTCCCACAGCCCAGGAAGCAAGCGCTGGGGGCCTGCCCTGGGCTGAGCACGCCTCCAGAGAAGAGGGAACTCCACTCCAGCTGGAGACTCACCTCTTTGGAATGTGGTGTCCCCCCCACGTGATGGCGATGCTGTATTTCCCCGGGGTGCTGGGGTAATACTCGAATGCATAGACTCCATCCAGAAAGCCTTTCTGTTTCACCAGCTCCTCCAGACCCTCTGTGGAAGGAAACGTACCACCTTTCCAAAGCAGTCTAGGCTCAGAATGAGAATCCAAAAACACAGGCATAGCCACAAAACGTAAGCCACACACAGGAAAACTAGGTGGACCACCTCACAGTGTGGGACCCCCAAAGCCTGGGAGATTAATCCAAAGCTAAAAACAGACCCATCTCTGCTTCAGAGTGTGGGGACATGGAAGATTATACTCCCTCAGCTATGAGGGGCTAGAGGTCCTCAAACTCCTGGGTTTGTGTAAAAATAAGTCTAGTCACATCTCAATTTTTCTTAACAATCATAGCTACCAGTCTTAGCCTCCCCACAAAAACTGGAGACTATTTGCATTAAGTACCATGAGTATCTGGCATGAGTTTCAGGTTATTCTCCTGGCATATTTTTTTTAACTAGAGCTGGACAATGAAAGTGAGAAAGCTCTTACATGCTATCTATAAGAGGACAGGCTTTAGACGCTTCCCCACAAACCCGAGGCTGAGCCATCAGGTAGGAACTTGTTCTATGTTGAGCCCTGAGGTTTGGCTGGGCAAGTCATTTAGTCAAGCAACAATCCAAAGTCAGAAAAAAAAAAAAAAACACCTCCTTGGCTCCTGCAGCCCCAGAGCAGCCAGGCTCCAGGTTTGGGCAGTCTAGAACCTGGTTACCCTTGGGGCACAGCCTGCCCCAGAGCCTGGTGCTCTGAGGTCAAACATTAACTTTCTGGAGCATACAACACTCCTGCCTTAGCCTAATGGGAACACAGTGGCTGAGAGCAGTCCTGCTAGAGAGAAGGAAGCTCAGGACCCCACAGGGCATGGGAGTGAACCGCCCGACTGCCTCGCTGCAACCAGAAACATGAGCAACTTCTGTGTTCAGGGGAAACTGGAGGATGCAGGAGACACCCACCTTTGCTGTCTTCCTTCCCCGCACAGGGAGCAAGAATGAGTTCTAGGGTGCAACCCACCCCTCCACACATGGCCTGTATCTTCGAAGAAAATTTAACCTTAGGGAATTTTATTCTTCATCTGTAAGCACTGATCATAGTAATTAGGTTCGTGACATAATTTCACAGTCTCTAAAACCTGTAGTCAGAAAAGGACTAGCTCTGGGGAGACCGTGCTTCAATTCCAGCTCAGATGCTTACGAGCTGTGTGACCTTGGCCAAGACCCTTCCTCCCTGAACCTAGGTCTCCTCAAATACTAAACAGGCCACTTGAGGTGGTTGATCCAAGGACGGCATCTCCCCAGCTCCAGTATATCACTGTTTTTTCTACTCCCAGAAGCTTTCCTGCAACATGAGGCTGTCGCGTCAGCCCCTAGAGCAGACATCACTAATCAATCACTGCTTCCTTCCCCATGGGGCCAACAGACTCAGGTCTTTGACATTTCTCTCTGGGACAAATCGATCAGAACTGGCCGGGGGATGAACTACACATGCCATCACTGCACAGTTGGCCCACATCACACCTGCAACAGGCAAACAGAGGAGTACTTACTAGGACCCTTCACGGTTACGCCAAGCTCCCCACTTCCAGCAGATTTGGTGTCAACCTTGAAGTCCGCAGTCTCCCGGATGCGGACGCCTTTGGGCTGCAGGCCCCGGCCACTGGCCCGGCAGGCGTTTGGACTGCAGGCTGCAAGCACAGTTTCAACATTAATTCAACCTTTCATTCTTTAGTCAGAGTTGAGCCAGCCAAGGTAACTTGGTGCCAGCCACCAAGAAAATGTTTGCTTTGCACAAAGCGTATGCAGCAGTTGCCTAAGGTCAGGGGTCCCACTCAGGGAGCACCCTAGGCTGGCAAGTAAGGGCACAGGAGAACTCTGTCCAGCCCCACCACAGAGGGACGGGGGAACGCTCCTTTGGCAAGGAACCCAGAAAAGCACAGCGTGCGTTCACTGTGTTCCTGGTCCCAGTTGAATCTTGGCATATATCCTTCCGGTGGTAGAGAAGAGTTAAGACCTAGGGCTGGACGTTATTCAAACCTCATTGCCATATTCAAGGGCCCAGTAATTGGGAAGACTGGACCTTTTCAAGTCTGCTTGGAAAAGGCAGCCCTTGAAAATGTCTGACCAGGTTCCAAACTTCACATGAGCCACTTCTCAATGTCTAAACACTGTCATCTTCCCTGGGAAGAGCCAAGGACGATTCAAAAGGAAACCAGTGTAACCCCGCCTTGGCTGAGGCAGACAAACATTTTTAGTGTTGTTGTTACAAGGGTCCTCGGAAAGTGGGTGGCTAAAAATGCAATGGTTAGCAGTAGACACCATTCTTAATTGTATTTCTAGATGGAGTTTAAAAACCTAAAGTTGTAAGTCTAAAAATGAAGGCCAAAGGCAACCTCTAATAATCCTTATGTGAGAGATACACAAACTACTGTTTCACAGTATACGCCAGAAGGTTGATAAAAGACATTCTTGGACCCTAGGAATTTTTTTGCCAACATGGGCAACATTTCTCATTAAATATAGAAATGGGAGACTAATGGGTAAAATGCAATGTGTGTTATTAAGTCGCTTTTCTTTTCCAAATCTGACACTGCATACTTGACAGCTATCTGTACACTACAGGGTCACAGACTCCAGAAGACAAGCATCATTACTCCATAGAAGGCAGGTAATTCCTCCTCTGGCCCCTTTTCCCTGCAATGTCCTTACCTCACTATTTGGCAAACAACTGCTTCCCAAAGAGACATACACACACTCCTGCAGTTAGAGATGATGTTAGGTGGCTCATGGATGAATGTAAGTTTATAGTCACATGTTATGGCAGGTGACATTGGTTTTCCATTGTTTCTTTTTTACATAAAATCACTTAAGTAGGGGAAGGTTAGTACCTCAAAAGAAAAACAACTCTATGAATTAAATATTAAATAGTACAAGTGATGGCTGAACGAATGTTCGAGAAATTGAAAAGGCAGCCCCTGAGTGCCAGAAGTTGGAAAACACTATTAGAACTAGGAAAGCTGTTTAAAATTCTCTCTTGCATTATGTCAAAGAAAGTCTTCTTTAGGGATACATTAGTTTTCTTTTTCTTTGTCAAAGGAAGAAAAGTTGGTCATACCAGAAAGAAGTCAAAACAGGATGACAACACTTCCCTTGGAGGGCTTTAATGTGTCTTAAAAAAGAAATGCTCATGGAAATTCTGAACATGGGCAATCGTCTCAACATGAGAAGGGTGGCTGCTCAGTTCCTGTCAACACTAAATGGAGCTAAAGAGTTCAAAGGAAACCATCAGATTCTCTACCGTTTTGAGATGTCTCAGAGATTGAACTGTAATTAGAAAGTGGGTTTGGGTCTGGCTGGCCACGTAGGAACACCTGCCCTGTAATTTCCTGAGGTCACAAGAGCACAGGCCCAGCTGACATCTGCAGGCAGCACGAAGAACTGGCACAGGAGCCCCACCCAACCAGCCCTTACCAAGCAAGATGCCTCGGGCCCAGGGCTCTCAATAGGAAGCCAACAGCTTCGGGGTCCAGGTTGGCCCAGAGGCAGGACTCAGAAGAGGAAGCCAGGTCTGCAGACGCAGATGCAGAGGACAGAACAGGGAAACGCAGGTGTTGGTTAGGGAGGCGACAGAATTGGAGGAAAAAAATAGAGCAACAAAGTTGAAGGCAAAAGAGTTTAACATTAGAGAAAAATGCATGCTTCGCTGCAGGAGTTTAGCGGCACCGTTAAGGGATCAACACAGACCCGGGTTCTACGCTCACTGACGCCGCCTACTCCATGCTCACTGACACGGAAGCTCCAGTGTCTCCACCTGCAAACTGGGGATAATAATGCTTGGAACACACAGGCTGGTGTGATGACCACATGCAGGGGTGCAAAGTGCCTGGCTGTGGGGGCTGCAGCGCCCCAGCAATGCCACCCCCGCCGACCTCAGCCTCCCACCCCTCCATGAGATGAGGGCTGTCCCGCATGAGTGTTCTGGGAGGATTGCTGAGTTAATACTTAGCTCACTGCACAGCTCACAAGAAGACATTAGTATTTCTACCCTGAGGACAAAATAAGCCACTTCCCACAGCCCTGGCAGAAAGGGGCCAGGTGCATGTTCAGTGGTGTCCCCCTCCCACTCTTCTCCTGGCCTGGGAGCCCAGCTGTGCACATGTCAGCCTCAACGCCCAAAGCAGAGGGTAGTCCGCCGCCCCAGCACTCACCTTCCCCGACCTGCACGACAAAGGGACTCTTCGGAATGGTGTCCCCAGCAAAGGAGACCTTGACCACGTGGGGGCCGGGCTGCACTGGTTTGTACACACACCGATACACCTGGTTTCCTTTGTCTTCCACGAGCAACTCCATGGTATTCTTCCCCTGGGGGTCCTCCACCTCCACGCCGATGTCCCCCACGCCGGCACCTGGGGACAGCGAACATGCCACGAGCCTGAGCCACCTTCTCAGGAGGCTTGCTGCTGACTGGCCCAAGAGCAGGTACAAAATGCAAATCAAAGGAGACACAGAGGAGCCCGAAGGTCACACCAAGACATTAGCAACGTTTTCTGGTCGGGAGATAAGGGTCATGGCCGAACTTCCTTTTTCTCCTGTTTTTCTACTTTCTAAATTTTCTGCATTGAAAAGAAAACTGACAAGTCAAGAATTGTGTTTTAATCATTCCTCTTTTTCTCCCCCCGACAGGACCTTGCATTGAATTTGGCCTAGGGGATGATTCTGGAAACTTGGTTTCTTTGGAACATTCATTTAGTCAAGTGTATACAGAGATGGACTGACTATTAATAATTAAAGTCAAGCTTGACTACAAGATCTTAGAGAAGGAAAAGCAGGTTTTGAAAAATCCACAAATAAAACCAACATATTTGAAAATGCTACTTTTGTTGCTGGTTGCTTGAAGTAAAAGACAAAAAGGGAGAGATTCCAAGCCTTTCGGTCCCTGTGGGGTTATCTCAGGTTTTGAAGAAAGCTTGACCCATGGACGAGAGGCATGTTACCTGCCGTGTAGATGTCAAAGTAGGTGGGCTTGTTGGCGATGTTCCCTGCAGCTTCTAGGCCTGGGCCTTTTGCGGTGACTTTACTGGCGTCTCCCTGGGCCTTGTCGACATTCACTTCAAATGGGCTCTTAGAGATGTGCTGTCCTGCAAAGAGGACTGTGACCTTCAAGTGACAGGTGAGATATAATTACTTTCCCAAGCCCGAGACCACCGTATCAAACTGATGGTCATCTCTTCTATGCTCCTGATTCTGTACACAAAGGTGGCTGCCACCAGGAGCCCTGGCTGAACGGCCTAAATGGGACTCCCACCTGGCTCCGACAGCCACACAGCTGGGCCTGGGACATCATGTTTTTAGCAAACCAAAAATACATTAGATATGCAATGGCTCCACAGTAGGATACAAATACTAGTATTTGACCTCCCAGACACTGGACACTTTAAGGCAGCTGCAGAAGGGGCCACCGCCCACCCAGAATGCAGTGCAGTTCCAGGATTTCAAATCTGGAGTCGAATTTTTCAAGGGACTATAGCCATTCTCAGGTACATGGACCTGAGACACAGTACAGACTTTCATCTAAATTTTGCAACAAATTCTCATATTTTAAATTTTAAGGGGTACTGGATTGGATCCCATAGGAACTGAATAAATTAATCACATCATAAATGTTCCCTTCTGTATTTTTTTCCAAACTCAGGATGTTCTAAGGGTGTAAGAGAAATCTTCAGCCATGGCTGCAGGTGAATTCACTAAAGCCCCAGGGGGCAAGTAAGGTTTATGTCTCAAAGTCTCAGTGTGGTACAAAGGCATTGGCCTCTCTGTGCTGCAGGAAGCTTTCTGCCAATGAAAAGCACACTCCTGGATGACCCCTCAGCCTCTGTCCTATAAGCTAACTGGACAGCAGCTCAAACAGGACCCAAAATGTTGCTGAGACAAAGGGCCTGGGATCTGGACTCCTAACACGTCTCCAGGCACATGAGTGGCCTCCACTCCACGCCAGTCAGCTGACCTTCTCTGGGCTCAGGCCTCACTGTGGACGTGCGCTCTGGAGCACCTCAAAGGGGAATACTTCTGCAGCAGCTAAGCCCACAGCTCAGCAGGTAACTCCAGGCTTATGGCAGTAACTATTCTTAACATCTTAGGACACTGCAGAGAACTAAGAAGCATTCAACCAATCTAGATGTGTTAGCTTCTGTCTCAAGTTTGATTCACAGCAATCCCAAGTTCTCTATAATGCATGCTTTTATAGTCAGAAGTTCACTTAAAAAACCACTCTTCTTCCACACATATCAAAGCAAGCCCAGAAGAGCCATCCGAACAACAGCCATGACCCATCTTACTTTGTGCAGCCCAGTGACCTTGGGCAGATACTCCACAGAGTATGTCTTGTTCTTATCACTGTCAGGGGTCACTTGTGCCTAGGACAGAACATAAGTGACAGTCAGAGAAGGTACTGGGTATGATTACAGGCATGCGGTGCCAACCTACAGCCTGCAGAAGCTGTCCTGGCTATTTCCTGCCCCACCATTCCTGCAGGACAGAGGCCCTAGAGCAGCAGTCCGATGTCAGAGACACAAAATCACGTAGCACAAAGGTATAACCAAGCCAGGACTCTTCACTGTCTCAGGGCTGGAACTCTATAGGTGAGAAAGCCTGTGAACCAAGTCACTTAAACCTTTACTGGCCCAGTAGTTACTAAGAGCTTATGAAACACCAGGTGCAATGTCAGGTACCAAAAATAAAAAAAATCAGGCACAGTCCTTGCCCCAGGGGCAGAAATAGGCAATATGCCAGCAAACTTAGAATTTCAGATGGTGCTAAGCACTAGGAATAAAATAGTTTTAAGAAGACAAGCAGATAGAAGGAACAGTGTGTGCAAATGCCCCAAGGGAGGAACCAAAGGGTGGTCAGAGTGGGAAGAAGGTAGGACATCAATACTGTTTCTGCATTGTATCATATTATGCATTGTATCAGTATTGTTACTGTACCAGTATTATACTGTTATTGCTATTCTGGCCATCAGTATCTAATACTTTCACTAACAAGGCCTTTGCTTAATCCAAAGTATCCTTTATATCATTAAACAATGTGTCCTTGTATATCAATTTATATTATTTTCCAAGGCACAGCCCTCGAGCAAATTTCTTTAACGGCTTGCTGTAAGCCTCAGGAATCCTTTTAGTAAAAAAAAGTTATTGTTGTGGGTTATAATGAGGAAAACGGAGGCACAGTTCCTGGCTCTGTTACAAACCCAAATTCTCTGTGGGATGCTGACAGGGGGCGGCGGCAACGCCCAGCTCACCTCTTCCTTGTTCCCTTCTGGGTCCTCGACAAACACCATCACGTCTCCCTGCCCGGCGCTGATGGTGTCCACAGTGAACCTGGCGGGCTGCTTCACCATGTTTCCGGTGGGCTCGATGCCTGCCACAGGTTTACACAAGCACATTACCAGCTGGGCCAGGCCATCGCCCACCCTGTCCCTTTCAGGGGACTGAGGAGGGAACCAGGCCTGCAGCTGCCACGTGAAGGACAGGGACAAATGGCCGTAACAAGTAGAATCGAACGGGCTGAAAGCCTGAATTCGTCCTTGTTCTTCAAGCATTCTAAAATATCCAGAGCAAGGCAGTCTGGTGTGTATAAAATTGTGAAAAACAATGTGGTAACCAGCAGTGGGGCTTGTCTCAAGGGTGGTGACCCAGAAGAGGAATGGGGTGTGGGGGAATGGCTCCTTGTCCATTACAGACCGTTTTGTGCTTCAGTTGACCCTTTAACAACACAGAGGATGGGGCCACTGGTACCCACACAGTCAAAAACCCATGTATGACTTTTGACACCCCAACCACTAATAGCCTACCATTGACCAGAAGCCTTACTGATAACATAAACACATATTTTGTATGTTATATGCATTATGTACCATGTTCCTTCAAAAGTAAGCTAGAGAAAAGTTTTTTTCAAATTGTCGCATACCTGCACAAAATTTTCCAATATATTTATTGGAGAAAATCTGCATAAGTGGAAACCCACGTGGTTCTAAGTTGACTGTATGTGAAATGTTTAAAAATTGCACTCAATTATTATGTTTTTAAAATTAAACTTTCAAATTACATTTTTTATTTTGAGATGATTGAACAAATCGATCTGAGAGATTCACACAGAGGTGCATGAAATGAATAGCCTTCACCAGTTCCCCAAATGGTTACATCACACAAAACGCTAGTACAGTATCACAAGGGTCCTGACCTTGACACAATCAAAAGACAGAACCTCTTCAACCCCCTGGGGATCCCACCAGTCCCCCAATACTTCACTCACCCTCTTCTTACTCCCAACAACCACTAATCTGTTTTTAATCTCTAACATTTTATCATTTCTAGATTATTATGTAAGTAAGTCTCTGTAGATTCCCTCAGGTTGTTGCCTATATCAACAGTTTGCTCTTTTTATTGCTGAGTAATATCCATGATATGAATGCATCCGTTTGTTTAACCATTCACCCACTGAAGGACATCTGGGCTGTTTCCAGTTGTCCATTGCTGATAACGCAGCTGTAAACATTTGGGTACATGGTTGTAAGAACATAAATTTCCATTCCTCTGGGATAAATGCCCAACAGTGCAATTGCCAGGTGGTATGTTAGCTGTATGTTTATTTCTTTCTAAGAAACTGCCAAACACAGTTCCAGAGTGGCCACGCCACTTTAAATACCCCCACCGGCTAGGGTGGAAGGATTCGACATCCAGTTTCTCTGCATCTCTGCTTCCTCCACTGAATTACGTTCGTCGACAATCAGCTGTGCATCTCTGTGTGGGTCTCTCTTTGGGTTCTTGATTCTGTTCCATTGATCAATGTGCCCACTGTCCACCAATATCAACATGATCTGGGTTTCTACAGATTTGTATCAAGTCTTGAAATCAGGTATAGTGATTCCTCCCCGAATTGCTTTCTCTCCTGTAGTTCCTTTGCCTTTCCATATATGTGTTAAAGAGTAATATTCTCTATATCTATGAAAAATGATAGCCATAATGTCAAACATATAGGACAATTTGGGGAGAAGTGACATTCTTACTCACTCAACCCATGAAAAGAGTATATCTCTCCATTTATTTAGGTCTTCTCTGATTTCTTCTTCATCAGTCTTTTTGTTGTTTTTAGCATATAAATCCTACATGTGTTTTAATACATTTACACCTATTTCTCAATTTTTGTTGGGCATCTGTAAGTGGTATAGCATTTTCAATTTTGATGTTCCATTGCTCATGCTAGTAGACAGAAATAAAATTTATTTTTGTGCGTTGTATGTTGATCGTATATCCTGACACCTTGCTGAATCACTTATTCAAGTAGAGTTTGTTTTGGTTTGTTTTGGTAGATGTCTCAGAATTTTCTACATAGACAATCATGTCATCTGCAAATAGGGACACTTTTATTTCTTACTTTCCAATACATGGGTCTTGTATTTCTTCTCTTGCCTGATTATAATGGCTAAAACTTGCATCATGATGCTGAATAATACTGGCGAGAGTGGACACCCTTGCCTTATTCCCAATCTTCGGGAACACATTCAGTCTTTTGGCATTAATTATAATGTTAGCTGTAAGATTTTCTCAGTCATATGGAGGAAGTTCTCTATTCTCTTTCTCTGAGCTCTTATCACAGAGGGCTGTTGAATTTTGTCAAATGCATTTTTCTATATCAACTGGTATGATCATGCAATTTTTCTTCTTTAGTCCACTAACATACATTATGTTGTCTGATTTTCTAATAGTGTACCAGCCTTGCATTCTAGCAATAAACTCTGCTTGATCATAATGAATAATTGTTTTTATATACTGCTAACTTCTATTTGCTAATATTTTGTTAAGAACTTTTCTATCTATATTCACAAGGTATACTGGTCTCTAGTTTTCTCTTTTGGCATTGCCTCTGATTTTATTAGAGCAAAACAGGCTCCATAAAACAAACTAGGAAGTGTTCCTTCTGCCTATTTTCCAGAAGAGATTGGATAGAATTCTTTTTCTAAGCATTTGGTAGGATTCTCTGGTGAAATCATCTGGGCCTAGGGATTTCTTTTCCAAGAGCTTTTAGATAAAAAATTTGATTTCTTTAATGGTTATAGGACCATTCAGGTTATCTTCTTTATCTTGGTTGAGTTTTGGTGGTTTGTGGTTTTGGAACTAAGTCTGGTACAGTTATCTATATTTTTGTTTTCTTTTTGTAATTGTAAGATTCCTTTTCTCAAAGTACCCTTTCTGTCCAGAGAATTCCTTTTATCCATCCTTTTAGGGTAGATGTGCTAGTGAATAATTATTCTAGTTTCCCTTCTCCTGAGAATGTCTTGATTTCCTCTTCATTCCTGAGGGTCATTATCCGTGGATATAGGATTTGGAGTTGACAATTCTTTCAGTGCTTGAACAACCTGCTATTTCTGGCCTCCATGTTTTTTTATGAGAAATCTGTCATTTTAACTACTTCCCTCCATAGGTAAGGCATCATTTCTCTCTTGCTGTTTCAAGCTTTTACTGTCTAGCACCTTAAAGTGTGTCTAAGATGTGACTTGGAATGGATTGAGGGGGTGAGTAGTGATTGTTTATCCTGTTTGGGTTTAGCTCAGTTTCTTCAACCTATAGGTTCATGGCTTTTGCCAAATTTGGGAAGTTTTCAGTCATTATTTCTTTGGGCATTTTTTTCAGCCCTGCCCTGTTATTACTCTCCTTCTGGGTCTCCTATGACATGAATGTTAGATGTTTTCTTATTGTCCCACAGGTCCCTGAGGCTATTTGTTTTTTTCAATCTACTTTCTCATCATTCAGATTGGGTAACTGTTCCACATTCTACATCACTGATTCTTTTCTCTGTCTTTCCATTCTACTATAGAACTCATCCACTGAGTTTTTATTTCATTGATTGTATTTTTCTGTTCTAAAAATGCCATCTGGTTCTTCTTTATATTTTCTATTTCTTTGTTGAGATTTTCAATTGTTTCATTTGTTTCAAGTATATTTGTAATTCCTTGTTGAACCCTTTTTATAATAGCTGCTTGAAATCTTTACCCCAAAAGAATTCTTTGCTTTAATAAAAATTCCTTAAACAGTGGAAGAAAAACAGAACTTTCACCAAATACTTCTAACATCTCTTATCATCTCAGTGCTAGAATCAAATGGCTATCTTTTCTCATTCAGCTTGAGCTCTTCCTGGTTCTTGGTATGATGAGTGGTTTTTTAACTGAAACCTGGATGTGCTGGATATTCTGTTATGAGACTCTCGGTCTTAATTTCATTTTTCTGTTTTAGCTGCTTTTAAATAATACTGCTCCAGCAGGGGAAAGGAGGGTGCCTGCCTGTTACTGCCAATGGCGGGAGGGGGGAAGTGCAGGTTCCCCTAAGCTCAACTGATGCTCAAAGTGAGGGGCTCCTCACCACTAGGGTGGAGGTGGGGGTTCCAGTTCCCCTCTAGGCCTCCACGAGTGACTGGAAGGGGTGGGAATGCCTCATTACCCCTCCTTAAATGGCCTCCGCTGACATTATTGTGGGAGGCTCCTTATTTCTACACTCTGATGAAAGTCCAGGCCCCCCATCTGACCTTTGCTGGTGTAGTGGGGGCAGCGGAGGGTGGAGCGGGGTGGGGTTGTCCACAGTTGTTCCCAGGATGTTGGCCAGAGTAGAGCAGGTATTGTCTGAGAGTGATCTGCCTTGCCACCCCTTCCTGGTCTTCTGGCCAGGAGAGCAGGCTTTTCTTGGGTGCCCACTGGCATTTCCAGGTGGTGATGTCTTTGGTGCCAAGCCTGGGATGTCCCAGGCAAAGGAAAGCCCAGGAAGTCACTACTGCATCAGCCCTTGGGTCCTAAGGTCCCTAACTGATCTGCTTTATTCTCTTTCGGAGTCTCCTTATGTTTGTCTTGCAGAAAATGCCCAGAGATTTGAGCTGTTCTTAGCAGGAAGAATTAGCAAAAGTACTTCTACTCTGTCTTCCCTGAAGTAGAAGTTCAAGAACTACTTTTAAATTTTTATTATGGAGAATCCCAAACCTATCCAGACACAGAGAACTGTAAACTGAATCCCTGTGTACCTACCACCAGTTCATCAACTGCCAACTTGTGGCCAGCCATTCATACCTTCACTCCCCCCTTCCCCCTCTCCTGTATTATTTTGACACATACCTTAGACCTTACATTTTTCATCTGTAAACATTGACTATGTATCTTTAAGAAGCACTTTTAGAATATCCACGTCAAAAAAAAATTAGCAGTAATTTCTTAATATCATCAAATATTCAGTGTTCATATTTCCGATTGTGTCATGAATTTTTTTAGTCACACTTTAAACAGTATTCCATGAAGTTCACATATTACAATTGGTTGCTAAGTCTCTTAAGTCTTATTTAATCTCCAGGCTTCTCTGCACCTCTGCTTTTCCTTGCCTTCAGTCTGTGGAAGATACCAGGTGCTTTGTTACTATCCTCTGGATTTGAATTCATTTTCTAATATATAATTTAGCTTAAGAAAAATCACTGGTAGATTCTTTTATAATAAGATAACGTTCACATACTCTTGGATAGGAAATGCGAACTGAAGACAATACAGTTTGAACTCACTTCAACACAGAAAAAAAAAGCTGGAAAGAAACACATCAGCCTTTGAAGGTGGCAATGTGCTCAGTAGTGGGGAAGCAGGGTTTTCCATTTTTATTGTCTACATTTTCCTCTGGTTTAATATCTACATGAATATTAGGTCATTTAATAAATAGATTTGAACATGCACTTAGACTGTTCATAGGCATCTATCCCATCTGACTCCCAAAGCCCGAAAAACAACATATTCTGCAGCCTATGTGGGGCTCATCGGCTCTGGTAACCATGGTTGATTAGGAGGCCAAGACCTGGCCCACACTCCGTAAACTCTCTCAGAGCTTCACAAGCCATGCAGATAACTGCTCCCCAGGCTTACTCTGAATGAAGGGTGCTTAAGACTTGCTATGCAATAAAACCTTCACAGAGAACACAGGAAAAGTTCCTGTTTAGCTCATGGGTGCATGCTTCCAACACCCCTAACTCCGCCAGGGAGTTCCCCCAGAGAGACCGTCTGGGGCTGTGTAGTCTGGGTCATCTACCGTTCCTCATTGGGAAGCGGCTGGTAACTGCAGTCTGGCCGATATCCAGAAGATAAAATAAAACTTCTCAACCCTGTTAGAAACCAGAAAATGAAATGTTCTCTATTCTTTGGTTTAGCTGGCGGAAATGAAGCAATGTGGCCTCATAGGAGAGAGAGCCAAATGCCCCTGCCCTTTGTCTCACCATGGGGGCAACGATAATATTTAAGGCCCCACCCATGTGGCCCCATGTATGGTCCTACTGCCTGAAATAACCATGTGGTCTTCCTACCTAAAAAGAGACAAATTTTGATCCAGCAATCCCACTTGTAGTTACCTACCCCAAAGTATGGAAAGCAGGGACTCAAACAGATACTGGAAGGGTAACGCCACAGCGGCATTATGCACAATAGTGAAAAGGGGGAAGCAACCCGATGCTCACTGGTGGAAGAATGGATAAACAGAATATGGTGCATACATACAATGGAGCATTAGCCAGCCTTAAAACAGAAGGAAATTCTGAAACATACAACAACATGGATGAACCCTGAAAACAGTATCTAAGTGAAGTAAGCCAGACAGAAATGTATAAATATTGTATGATTCCATTTATATGAGGTCCCTAGAATAGGCAAATTCATAGAAACAGAAAGTAGAATGGTGGTTGCTAGGGTTGGGGGAGGGGGAAATGGGGAGTTACTGTTTACAGGATAAGAGTTTCAGTATGTGAAGATGAAAGTTCTGGAGACAGATGGTGGTGGTTATGGTTGTATAACACAGTCAATGTACTGAATGCCACTAAATGGTACACTTAGAATAGTTAAAATAGTTCATGTTGTGTTACATTTATTTTACCACAACACAAGGGCAAAGAGTACATACATATGCATGTATACGCATATGTATGTGCATGCACACATATGTGTGTGTGTGTGTGTCTTTTTAAGGTGTGTTTCCTCCCCAAGTGCGCAACACCTACAAAAAGACAGATGAAGGAAATGGCAATGACTAGCCACATTCCGGAACTGCAGCAAGTGCTCATTTTCTAGAAAACAGCATTATAAAGGAAACCACATCACATTAACAATAGGGAAACCGGACAGCCAGTAATAAGGTTACTGCAAACAGGCACTTTATGCTTGACTGAATTCAATTCATTTGACCAATTTTGTTGACAAGAGATGTATTCGGCCCTTTGAAGCTTTTTTACCATTAAGGAAGCACAACCTTTAAATCGGAGATTCCTTATTCCAGCCACCACCTTTGGTTATGGCTTAGAGAAAGGACTCGGAAAGCAGGTGTGGACATGGGACATTTGAGAGGCTGCACATGGGGGAGGGCTTCAGACAAAGTCCCTGGCAAAAATGATCACACAGACCCCACCTCAAATGGCAGGTGGGTTTGTTCCAGACCTATCAGGCTCTGTGTCCTCTTCTAAATTATGCTAAAAAAATAAAAAGGCAGATGAGAAAGACCTGGCCGCTAAGGCTGCGAACAGCACACAGTACTCCTGCCCTGGGTCAGGTACCATCTTAAGTCTAAGCTGACACCAAGCCAGGGAAGGCTGTCTTCAAAGGGAATGAGTGCGTGGGACATCCCGCAGGACAAGTGCAATGGACTCTTCAGAAAATCAATGTTGTTTAGAAATGAAATTGGGAGGAAATTGTTCTAGATTAAAAGAATCTAAAAAAATAATAATAATAACCAACAAATACTGGAGGTGAATCTTACTCAGATCTTGGTTTGCAAAAACAACAAGAAAAACTATAAAAGTTAATTTTAGGACAACTGGGACATTTTAATACAAATTGGATGTTAGCTGATATGAAAATGTTGATTTTCTCATGTATGACAATGAACACTGTGGTTGTGCAAGAGGCTGTCCTATTCCCAGGAGATGTTTGCTGATGCGTGGAGGATTGACCTCTTGCTACACCTGCAATTTATTTTCAAATAATTCAACAGTCTCTCTCACATAACACACAAAGGGCGAGAGAAAATGATTATGTCAGGATGAAGTGTAGGTTCTAAGAGAGGGTATACAAGATATTCTATGTGTCTAAATGTCATCCCAACTGTAATTGGGAAATATAATGCATTCCTTCCCCTCCGCACTGAAAAGGGAGTAAGGTGTAAACCATTCTAGTCATCTTTACCAGAAACCACACTGGACTGAAATGCAACTATTCTCCTTAAAAAGCTAGTGTGCTTAAAATCAGTTCCAGCCAGAACACCAAATACCTCAAAATGCCTTCAACCTAGCAGAACGTTCTGAGCAGAACGCTGACCTGCGGCTGCCTCAGAGATCATAAACAGGATGTCTCGGCAAGGAAGTGTCTGCCAGGGGTTCACAATAGCTCCCACCCCCTCTGGGAATCCGAGGCATTGAGCACAACTGGAGAAACGAATCAGCAGCCGGATGGCCCGGGCTCTGCCCCACCCCTGTTGCTGATGGTGGTGGTGATCTGGGGAGCCCCTTGCCCCCCAGTGGGTCAGGCCTCTGACTTCTCAACTGAAAAATGGAAACAACAGTCCTTTCTTGTCCCGGGGCTACTGCACTAAAATTACAAACCAACAGACTCCTCATTCTCCATCACATACGAGCCGCAGTGGCTGGTAAAGCCTAGAGTCACAAGGCAGAAAAAGATGGCCATAAACAAGTGCACTGTTAGGTAAAAACATCTGACAAAGGAGGCCTGGGGTGTCATTAAGAATCAAACCTGTACATTCTTGATTCTCAGACCTCTCCTCCTAAGCCACATGACCACCTCTAAGACCGCAGGACAAGCCTCAAACCCAACACGCCCCCCTCCTTCCTTACCTCTGCCGTAGGCCCTGGCTTTCTTGGGGTTGAGTTTGGGTTTCAGAGGGGCGCCCGGCTTGAGCTTGGCTTTGGGGAACTGGGACAGGTAGGTCATCACTGAGTGCTCATCCACATCTGGGTGAATAATTTCCTCGGGAGTGATGACCTAGAATGACCGCATGGTAGGTGAACACCAGATCGCACCACTCTGCACCTGCTGAAGTTTTAGCAAACGTCTCTTAAACCAAACACTGCAAGTATTAAGAAATGGAGTCAGCCTCTCACTTAAATGAAATGACATTATACGGACATACGAAGATCCATGTTTTTAACCTTTTAGAGGTGTCACTGTTCCCTTTGGAAGCTGAGGACCCTCTCCAGAAAATTCCGTACATAATTTCCAGAGGTGCATGTCCTCCCACCCCCACCCCACCCCACATGCCCTGAAACAAAAAAGCCCACTCACTCCCCTGGGTGAACTTTCCAGAAGGGATAAGCTACATCAAGTGAGGAGGAAGAGGGAGCAAGCACACATGGGGTTGGAATGTATTACAAAAAGGTGCACAGACAATGGCCTTTTCCTTTGCTCACCTAGCCATTGTCTGCATTTCTATTAATTCAGAGATGCAGGTACTAATAAAATGTAGCTGCTACTAGAAAAATAAAAGCGAAACCAAAAAGAGACAACAGAGTAACATAGCAGACATGCAGTCTTGTTAAAGACTGAATATTTGTATCCTCCCCAAATTCCTATGTGGACGCCCTGACCCCCACCCAGTGCGATGGTGTCAGGAGGTGGGGCCTTTGGGAAGTAAGCAGGTTTACACAATGTCATGAGGATACAACCCCCATGATGGATGAGTGTCCTTACAGGAAAAGGAAGAAAGAGCAGAGCTCTCTCCCTACCATGTGAGGACACAGTAAGAAGGCAGGTGTCTAAGCCACAAAGAGGGCCCTCACCCAGAACCAGATCTGTTGGCATCTTGCTCTTGAACTTCCCGGCTTCCAGAACGGGGAAATGAAGGCGTGTTGCTTAAGCCATGTGGTCTATGGTGTTTTGTCAGAGCAGCCCAAGCTGACTAAAACAGACTTCAATATATGAAGAGCCATTTGAGAACTAGAGAGGAGTGACTTTCTCCTGACATACAGGTCAGAAGGAAGGTTAGAGCCATCTGGGAGAGGTGGCCTCCCAGGAGGCACTGAACCACCTGCCCCAGCGCTACAGGGCACGAACAGCCGTCCCGCTCCCTGTAAGGGTGCCGAGGAGGTGGGCCACACCTCGTCAGACAAACAGGAGGCTCTTGGCCATGACCCTGGCTAACCAAATGCCCATGAACAACATATATACCCAGCGTCCCTCATCCCGTGGTAAGAGCAAACAAACAAACAAACAAACAGAAAACAGTCTGAAAACAAAACAGCTACTTGAGTTTGAACAGTTGCCTTCAGTACATTCCATAAAACGTAGGAGGGGTGCTGATTTGGCATTTCTTCCAGGCAAACAACTTTCTCCTTCAACAACTGTACAGTGCCAAAATCACATGCATGTCAAAAGATGGTTTTAGGTTTAAGAGGAGATGAAAAACACACCACGCCACTTCCTGACGGTGGAAGAGCCAAGAAATGGGCCACAAAGAAGATACACGATGCCAAAACCAAAGAGATACAGGCAAGTTCTTCTACCTCCCAGGGGATCCTGTTACAAAATACACTGAACTCAGCTCAGAACTCCAACTTGGACCTCATGGCGCCTGTAGTGTGAGGCTGTCCATCCCACTGGCTCTGACAGCTTCACTTGATTAGGGCTTTGAACATGGGAGTCATAGTGTTTAACTGCCAGGGGGAGTGTTTTAGATTCCTTGGAAGGGCTAAGAAGACTCGACCGCAACTAAGCGATGTGGCTACTGCAGATGGTGTCTAATACTTACTCAACTTCCAAGGGTTCTTGTCATGTTCCTGTGATGGATTACGGACAACAAAAATTCTGCCACACCCATTCACGGTAGGTTCATCCTGGTTTAAATTTCTTATAAAAGTTCTACATCCTGTGACTTTCCCTAAGATAAGGCATTTTTAGAAAGAAACCTTTTAAGTATGTAAAAAGTGGTCAACTGTCAGTAATTTCTTATAGTTCAACCTAATTGTTAAGGTCCACATCTGTAGTCTGCTGTCCAAATAGCCCTCAACATCTTTGGAGCAGGAATACTAGAAGATTTGCCACACGGGAAAAAGAGGAAGGTAGAGATTAGCAACCGATCTACAAGCACCTAAGTCAATAAAAAAAGAACCTACTGTTATGCATAAACTGAGGTACATGCAAGAAATACCACAGGCGATGCTCTTTGAAGGTCGATACCAAGGAGAGAAGACCTCCTGGAGACCCAAAGCGGCACCCACGGAGTGCCAGAACAAGCTGGGGGAGCAAACAGCCTCATGGGACATGGGATTTGCTTGTGTCTATACCTGTGGGACACCCAGCCAGTCGTCTGCCTGCTGCATGGCTTCTCGTGCATTATCCACAGGCTTCTGTGGGTCCCAGGATTCCCAGTCTGGGCACAGACCTATTAACATCACACAAAAGATTCTGTTAATACAGTTGAAAGAAAAGATTAAAGGAAGCCATGTGCTTAAATTAAACCCACCTGGTATCTTAATTCAGAGAAGAATTTCCTCCAAAAATCTTAGCGAATTATATATTTTATGGGCAAAAAGAACCACAGATGTGAGTATGCCAGGGTGAAAACTATTCTGAGACAAAGCTGAGACTTCTTTAAGCTGTTATTTCCTTGCACTGAAATGGGGATTATCTATCTATCCCTTGAAGGTGTGGTATAAATAAATAAACAAAGCCTATAAAACCATTTGGGCCTGGTGCCCTTTTGCAGATTTTCTTGACCTACCACACTCACAGTTTTGTAAGCTGGTTACCAAATGTTTGGGGTTGACACCAGTTGGATGCCCTCTATGATTTAACTCAAATCTAAGACTATCTGTTTGGAGATAGTGTCAGATCCTACAGGTTAAGGGCTCAGTCCTACAAGATGGCATGACCCCCACTTCAGATGCCAACTGTGAATGCAGGTTGTCACCTGGGCTTCTCAATGACCAGCTGCGAATAAGAGGTTCCCAGGACCCCTGCTTGAGTTTAATCATTTAGTAAAGGGGCTCACAGAACTCAGGAAAACCATTTAGTTACTATTACTGGTTTATTATAAAAGGGTACAACTTAGAAACAGCCAAATGAAAGAGATGCATGGAGCAAGGTATGGGAGCAGGAAGCTTCTAGGCCCTCTCCAGACGTGCCATCCTCTCAGCACCTTGGTGTGTTCACCAACTTGAAAGCTCCCCATCCTATAGTGTAGGGGTTTTCATGGAGGCTTCACTATGTAGGCCTAGCTGATTAAATCACTGGTCATTAGCAATTAATTCAGCCTCCAGTCCCTCTCCCTTCCCTAGAGGTCAGGAAATGGAGCTCAAAGTTCCAGCCTTCTAATCTTCCAAAAACGTCACCCCATTAACATCACCTAGTTGTGGTCGAGAGACACCATTATCATGGCCCTTACCACCTTAGGAAATTCTAATGGTTTCTGGAGCTCTGTGCCAGACAAGGGACAAAGACCAAATATATATATTTCTTAGTGTAAGTCACAATGTAGCAATCCTATTCCTGGATATCTAAAAAACTGGACTAGCATCCTGTACAATTCCAAAATCCACCTGCTCAAAGGTCAAAACCTAGATTTATCTTAAAAGCCTTTGTAAGCAGAAGTATAGGACAGGAGCAAAAACCCCCAGGTTTAAACTGGAAAGAGGTACCCTAAAATGTTTCTTTGGGACGGAGCAAGGAAGAGGCCACCAGGGAATGAACTAATGCCAAGCTTTGAGTTACTTCTGGAAGGTACCAGTTCATAGGCTCCCAAGGAGGCATGGGGCCCAGAGTCAGCCCTCCATCCCTATCTAATTGACACCAGCAAGTTCTGTGTTCAGTATGCTGAGAACCACTAGGTTACTAAATACTAACATGCCCAGCATATACAGAGTGCTCATATACAGACTAAATGGAAAATATGATTAGTACAGTAAATTGTGTATTAAAAGCAATCCTGGGGGTGCCTTTAACACATTCCCCTGGCTCTGGTTTTTTTAATTGTGTACCAGCAAGCTCTACCCGTTCATCTAAGCCCTCCAGTGAGGATAATTACTACCTTGGTATACACTCAACCACTCGGAAATGGGTAGAAAGGGTTCCAACTGGATCCTGACCAAACACTATTTCACAGTAATGCAGAAAAAAAGGGCAGAGAGAGCCATTTGCAGTCGGTCCAGTGGTCGATAAAAATGGATACTTTCCACTCAGTGGAAGTTCTTAGATTTTGATGCCAGCCGCCTAACAGAGCCACATGTTCTGTTGAAGCCAAGTGGACCAGCACCAACTGTGGGAAGAAGCAGGACTTTGGAGTCTGGAGGCTGAGCCCAAGGCCTGCTCCAAGCACTAAGGCCTTCACTGGGAATCTGGTTTGTTATTATCGTTACTGTTTCCTTTTTACCTATTTTTTCCTCCCTTTTAATGGACATACAGTTGACATATAGTACTATACTAGTTTCAGGTATACCACTGGGAATTTGAATAAACTGAACTTGATGCTCAAACAAGCCAATGGACCTGCCACCAAGGCCTACAGGACCTGCTATGGGAAAGGTAAGAGAAGCCGTTTTTAGTTCCTTTAGCTCTCCTACGGGGAGCTAAAACTAGGGGAAATACACCCAGCACCGTAAACTTGGCTTTCCCGCTGAAAACTAGGAGGTTTAGGGCCCAGCTGCCCCTATCCCGAAGAGGTGGCGTGAGTGTCCAGCCGTGGACACCCACCTGGAGCACAGCTGTCCACCAGGGCTCCCAGGGCTTTGCCGTCTTGCCAGTTCTGGTTAAAGTTGGTGATGGGCAAGTAGGGGATCTTGTTCTGGATCCATCCCAGCAGCCTCTGCTTGGGCGTCTGCTTCTTGGCATCATCGTCCCCTTCGTCCTCCCACACGGGCATGGAGATGGAATAGTGGAGAATCAGTGTCCACACCAGGCCCAGGATGAGCTTCAGGTTCCCGTCCACGATGGCTTTGCTGTCTGGGGAGAGAGGCACGAGACTGGTCATTCCTCCGGGCTGCACAAGTGTCAACACGCTCTTTGTAAACAAGCACACGAAGCCCTCATCTGCTTGAGAAGTGTACTCGAGTACTTGAGGGTAAAAGGAGGCAATGCTAGAATTTGCTTCAAAATACTTGAGGATGGGAACCGATGAAACAAGATTCCAAAATGGCATTAACCAGTATCACTGGATCATGCGTGCAGAATATGCATTATACTACTGGCTTTACTTTTGCGCATGTGTGAAATTTTCCATACTGAGGAGTTTTTAAAATGTAATGACATCATTTCAGAATTATAGACAAGAAGAAGAGGGGGCTGCGTTTGTAGATAACCATCTGTTAGCTCGGTGGTAATATGATCTACCAGATGGTATGTGTATACATATGTATGTGTTTGCCGCCCTGAATTTATATGATACTATACATACAGTCTTGAGAATTTTCTTTTCACTTATCATTATGTCCTAGATATCTTTTCCCAGTCAAAAGCTGTTTCTGTTTACATTCCCATCTACAGGTTTAAGAGGCCAGTTTCCCCTCAAATCTCACCAACACTGGGGGTTTCTGAGCGTTTTCATCTCGGCTCTTATAGTTGGTCATTCATAAAGGCACTAATAGTTACGCTAATCCACTGGGCAGCCTCTTTTGCCAGGAAGTTGGGTGGCTGGAGGACATTACAGCCTCTTTCTAGTCCTCCAGTCCTCCCCCGGCTTAGCAGAACATGCCACCCACCTTGGCCCCTTCTAGAACCTGCTAGGAATCTCATCACCACTGGTTTCCACTTCCCACTCCCCTTGGCTTCTCTGGGGTCATCTATCCTCTTTGTAACTTCCACCTACACCCATCAAAATTCTAACTTTATCAACAAAATTGCTCTCTCTCCCTCTCTCCCTTTTTCCCCTCTGATTCTTTCCCTCAATTTCCTCTATTCTTTCTCCAACAGACACCCTCGGTGGCGCTACCCTCCCACCCCATTCTACCAGGACCCAAGCTAAAAATATCAGAACCTTCCTGGTCTCTTCCTTCAAACCCCTGGCTGTAATTTCTACAACGAGTCAATTATCTACACAAATCTCTTGGCAAATCCTTCTCCACATCCTCCCAATAAATATCTGGCCCTTCCTCCCCTCTTAGAGTCCTTGACAGCCATGAAGCTGACTCAGTGTGCACAGAACCCCAGACAGATATCTCTGTGCTTCCACATCCACCAATGGTCTGGTCCCCACTGCCGCCAGCAAATGCCTGGACACACAGCGCCCTCTGAACTCCACACAACCTCCATCCAGCCTGCTTTGTCATCCACCCACCACACCCCACCCTCCAGGCTCAAAGACACCCCGTTCCTGGACCACAGCTTGCTCTGAGCCCCCAGACCTCTCCACGTGTTCTGTGGTCCCTTTGATGGAAAGACCCTGCATCCCACATTTCCGCAGGACAAACCCTGGCTCATAAGACAAGGGCCAGATCAACAGTTGGTGCCACTTCACGTCCACCAGCGTTATGTGTCACCAGTTCTCCAGACAAGGACCCTTTGCTTCTCAGTCTCCCACCGCCGCTCCAGCGCTGCTGGTGAATTACAGCCGTCATCTTGGAGGTCGCCTCCCCTGTGCCACCCACCCACCCACCACAAGCCATCTGAGATTGGTTAAACATGCACCAAGCTGCTCTTAATGAAACCCATCAGCGGCCACATGAAAAATACACTCCTGCGCTGATGAGGAGTATATGGCACGCCACTCAACACCAAAAGGGTGGGGCTTTTTTCTCTCACTAACCTGTTGATTGTTACTTCTTTTACAAGAGAGGAACCTCTAAAACGCACACCCGAACCCACAGAAATGAAAGGTGGTTTCATGGTTGCAGATTCAGTCATAATACAACTTGATCATGTAAAACAGGACAGAGTGAAGATTATTATGAACTGGCTGGGAAGACAAATTATATCTGAGCAATTCTTAACTCAGAGTTAAGGTGCCCTGGGATTTTCTATGTAATGAATTGTACTTTGAGGCAGGACTGCCTACATAACTCACAGGTCCCAGCAACAAATAGAAACGCAGGACTCCTTGTCCAAAAAGCATTAAGAATTTCGAGATGAAATCAGCAGAGCATTCAACCAAGCACAGAACTCCCCTGACTGTGGGCTCTGTACAGCTGCACAGGGTGTGTGCCCATGACATCAGCTATGCTTCTAAGGTCCTGTGGTCAATAAAGCAGAAGAAACCTGCATTAAAAAGTTGCCCCTGCACAGAATTTGGATATCCGAGGAAATTTTGGCAGTTCTTGACCTCGACTGAATTTTCCAGATTTGGTGTCCTGTTACAAGGTTGCCTTTGAAGTGCTACTAATTACTGAGTCATTATCTACCTATCCTAAGATATTTCAGGTCAAACAATTCTCCATACCAGCTTCCTTTATTCAGGCGAAAGGGAGAAGAGCAGTCTCTGGAAGGGAGAGGGGAGAAAAAAAAAGGAAATAGAGTGTGTGTATGTTTATCACTAGTCAGAGGTAACCGTGGTGGACCAGGTGGAGTCTGGTCCTGCACCAGGCAGGATCTGGAAGAGGTGAAGAACTCTCAACCAGCCCAAAGGCATCCCTTTCCAAAGGTCAAACTTCCCTGAGTTATGGGCTAAGTGCTTTTCAAATGCAAACTTGCAGATTTCTTGTATAAATCAGAACATGAAACCAGGGAGCTCTATTTTCCCCAGCTTACACATGTTGGTCTCAAGGAAGGAGACAGGAATCTCTTTCAAAAAGATTTTGGGGGAAATATGACCCAGTAAAAGTCTGAGCCAAATTTGTGAAAAATGCAATGCACAGTATTTCTGTTTCCAATGAATTCAAGGTGGGTGTCCAAAGGGGAAAGCCCCCATTGAGGTCTTGTGAGGATAAATGATACTTTCATTCTGCTGTTCTAAGAGGGTGGAGGGAGGCAGTCCTCATTACCAAAGTGACTTTGACAGGTGAAGGTTTCAAATGCTTTACGGAACTCTTGGAAGAATAGAAAGATGGCAACTTGCCCAAAAGGCCTCCCCCATTCCCACCCGCATGAAACAGGAGACTCCCAATTCCTTGGAAAGAAATGCAACATAGTGTCAGAGCGTCAATGTCTGACCATCAAGCCGACTACACGGACACCAGTGTGCTCTGTGATATTTATGTCAAGTGCAGACATGGAGCAGAAATGTGAAAGGAGGAAAAGGCCAGGTCAGCTGGAAGCCTCGCCAGCAGTATTCCATCTCCTTGAGAGTTGCTGAGAGCCTTTTTCTAGAATAAAATGAGCCAACGCCCGCCACACCCACCCAGCCTCCTAAAATCTGCTTAGACGGTCACAGGGTTGGAATCTGGCCACGTGCTTCTCCTCCCCAAATCCAGCCAGTCATAATTCCCATGTAACTGGTCCTGGCTCTGCACAATGACCCTCAAACCACACACACCTTCTGGAACTACTTAAAAATATCTGGCATTGCTCGTGAGAGCCGTGGATTGCTGTTGTGTTTTTTTTTTTTTAATAGCTAGGAAGTTGATTGGAGCTGCTGCAAACTCCAGGATGGAATGTTTTCACATCATTTCAGTACATTCATTCTCCAGTCCTTGTTAAGCAGTGTTCTGGAATGGGTGCATTGATGGGGGTGGACACCAGCTATTTTTAGACGATCTCTGGAAGCATCCTGGAAACATCTCCTTTGTTGGCAAGTGCCCCCAAGGTAAGGGATATGGCGATCTTTCTCTTTCTCTACTATCAGGAGGGCCCCATCCACACAGCGTCTGTGTGCCTCCTCCGTTCCCTGCACCAACCTTCTCTCCTGGATGTTACTAAGTTCCTGATTAACTGAGGAGGGGCCTGGGTAGATACCACACCTCATTTTGGCTCTCCTGGGTGAAGGCTGCTGGTCATCCACTGGCCACCAGGCAGCTGGCTGCTGGGTCAAAAACAGCCAGCAAGTGACTCTGCAGGGAATCAAGGAGAGATCCCGGCTTCAGAAAACCTCCTTCTAGTGTGCCTGGGGAAAAGTCGCCAAGGCCGTACTCCGCACTCCAACTTGGCCATCTGGGGAGCAGGCTGTCACACACTCTGCTCCCTGCCTGCTCCTCTAGGTCACCCTCTGGGAGGTGGCATGGTAGAGTGGTTGCAAGTACAGGTTCTAGGACCAGCAGCTCAACTGGACATGTCACCCTGAACAGTCCGTCCATCCTCTCTGAGCCTTATTCTTACTCATTTACCAAATGGGAATGCCCATAGCCAACACCTTCCCGGGCTGTTACTAAGGAGCAGGTGGAACAGAGAACACCAAGAGCTGCACACCATGCTCGGCACACAGCAGGCACTTAATATAGCCTTCCTCCCTCCCTCACTTTCACCTAATGTCTGAGTACCTGCTATGGGACAAACATTCTTCCTCAGAATCAACCAGAAGCCCAGAAGCTATATTCCCAGGTCCGTGTGCATGCAGGAAACAAGAGGAAAGACAGAAGCCTGTGAGTTAACAGGAAGATGAAATGTTTGATATGTCGCTTCTTTCAGCCAAGGGAAGCTCAGGAGCCTCCGAGGTCCCTGTCCTCCTGTTCTAAGAGGAGGCTGCCCATAACTGCAGGGAACCCAGGGCATGCAGAGTAGGTGCAAGGGGGATGCTTCTGGGCTGAGTGGGTTAGGAGACAACATCTCCTGGGACCCCCAGAGAGGATGCCAGAACTGTCCAGGACCCAGCTACCAATCACTGATCGGACCTTCCTGAAAGAGAATATGGTACAAATGACAGTCTGCATCAGCCAGGGCTGCCCCGTGACTCTCCAGCTTCACGTAGCCCCGGGCTCGTCCTTGGTCTCAGCCCCCTGGCCTGGAACTCCCTCCTCGCCCCTCTCTTGACCTGGAGAATGCTTCTCCGACATCAACTTAATAAACAGGCCCCTACGGGCGCCATGAGCTCTCCTCCTTCAGTGCAGCCACAGCTGTGCGAGAGCAGTCACCTGCCGCGT